AGAGAGAGAGAGAGAGCATACGTTTTGTCGACAACGGGAAAGAGAGAGAGAGGAAGAGCATACGTTTTGTCGACAACGGGAAAGAGAGAGCATACTTTTGTCGACAACGGGGAAGAATGAGCACATCTTTTTGTCGACATCGGGGAGGAGGGAGCTCATAATTTTGTCGATTATAGTCAACAACGTTGCGCAAAAAGTTACTGATCACTAAAAGTGTCTTTAAATCATGTGGAATTCTTCCATAAACCATATCCGATCCAAATCTGTCGTGCTCCAATACATAAGCGTCTGCATGAAGTTCTCTTCGACGCCGATACACACGTTGTAAAATTCGTTTTGACGACAACGGGAACGAGAGAGCATACGTTTTGTCGACAACGGGAAAGAGAGAGAGAGCATACATTTAGTCGACAACGGGAAAGAGAGAGGGAGAGCATACGTTTTGTCGACAACGGGAAAGAGAGAGCATACTTTTGTCGACAACGGGGAAGAATGAGCACATCTTTTTGTCGACATCGGGGAGGAGGGAGCTCATAATTTTGTCGATTATAGTCAACAACGTTGCGCAAAAAGTTACTGATCACTAAAATTGTCTTTAAATCATGTGGAATTCTTCCATAAACCATATCCGATCCAAATCTGTCGTGCTCCAATACATAAGCGTCTGCAAGAAGTTCTCTTCGACGCCGATACACACGTTGACGGCCATCTGATTGAAATAACGCGAATAATATTCATCCGTGAAGAGCACTGACCTCCAAAGTTTCCTAGGGAAACGTCTGGATTAATGTGCTGTCACCATCGCCTACGACATGTTCGACGTTGTGGTGTCTGTGGGAAACCAACCAATGCTGGCGTCCCAGCCAACTGATGAGTCCATACGCCGGCTTAGGATTTACGAAAATATATTTTTGTATGACGGAGATATAAATCAAAGATTGCGTTTTGAAGCTAACCTTAATATTTCCATCCAGAAATCCATGTGAAGTTTTATAAATGCATTACAACGATAAACCAAAGGGCATAAGCTACGTTAAGGTACGTATATACATATGTACAGTAATTAACAAGAAATTCACAAATAGCGAACGTAGCCATGTGTACTTTATATTTTCTCTGAAGTCTATCAAACCATTGCTCTTAAGAGGAATAAGAACACACTTCACATTGAAATTACAAGGATTGTCTGTCTTAGATGCACATTACAGGCATGTTCATAGTTGTACAGATTACACCAACGTGAATAGCACATTGCATTATAATCAAGAATTGGATACAATAGAGTCAGTTTCAGAATAAACTGTATAACAAATTGTTGATTGCATATTTTTAGGTATAATCAATTCATTTACAACTAATTCATGTTTCAGATTTTCCTGAAAAGATACAACATATCCAAAATATATACATTTGAAGCAATAATGTAGTGTGAACAATGAAACCCCAGTCTACTATTGTCCTGTGTTTAATCAATTATATTCTTCTAGACATTTACAATTTTGGTGCCAGAGTTTGAATTACTGATGTCACTGACGGGATGTATTGGAATATTGTCTACAACGTTTATTGTTCCTTATATCGTATCAATGTTGACGCTGTATGGAGAGAAAGAACCAACATTACTGGTAGATAAAATCAAAAGGAAATTAACACTCGCATTATGTGTAGTATTCAAGGCATACTCAGTAATTGCGGGATTTGGCGTCTCTGTTTACATGACACTGAATAACATTTATCATAATTTCGGGGCTGGAGTACAAGTACTTCTCTGTGTATATTTACACCGTAGGTTTTTTAGTGACAAAATATATTCTGCATGTCTACTCACTACTTGAAGCAGAGTATTCGAAATCCAAACAATGATAAAGAATATCAAGATACCGTCTATTCCAGAAAAAAGTGAATATGTTGATGTTGTACATGTGAGGCTGTCCGATCCATTTCCGTGCCTAAGGTATGTGCGCAATACCCTGGTTATCGCATTGTCATTTACTGTGATTGTGATACACTGATATGTTTGATGTGTATTCCATAAACTTCAAACAATTCACATCAAAATGATTCAAGGTAGAAAGTAAGATCAACCCTCGATACAGAAGCAGAAAGAATAATACATAATATAGTAGGAAAGCACCGTCATATGGTTTACAGAACTTGTTAAAGTAGCGTTTTAATCCAATACATCCCATGTAATTTATTTTGAAATTCACTTCATCTATATTCAAGACCCTAGGACATGTGACCCTAAATCTTCATCGTATTGTAAATTCGGAGGTTTTTTGAGTAAAGTGCGTGATATACTGTGATATACGTTGTCAATCCAAATACGGATTCGTTTTATGCATCACAAGTCATGTTAGTTGTCGTTTTACTTTACGTCACCTTTTGAATATACACACCATATGTTTTCAAACATAGATTATAAGATAAGCGTCACAGATTACGCATCACAGCACTGCAAAATTAAAACAATGATTCGCTTGAAAGAAAGATTGCTGGCAAAGATCGATGTCCAAAAATAACAGATTCAACCGAGAGTTTCTTGACGTCGAAGGGCCGTTGCCATGACAGCAAGCAGATGACATTGCAATGTTACTAGAGGGCGTAAATTCTATTAATTTAAGCAGACACAAGCAAGTTGCTTTCATCTTTAACAAAAATGATATTTTGATTATCATTTAGCGGTGTTCCTGATTCCCAAAGGGTCAGGTAACTAAAAACTATGAATATGATACGAGTACATTTTATGACCAGAATGCAGCATATGCAGTGAAAAGCACTCCTTCGTGGTGGTGGTAGAATTCGGAAATGAATGAGTTTTGTCTGCAGAATCTTTGATATGAACACGAAATAAATGAATGATTTTTCTGTAAAGTGACTAGGTTGTGCACGTATGATCACATTGATTCTTCAAATTCCCACTGTAAATTCTGCGTTTTTGGTCATACCAGTTTCTGCAAAAGTTAGTTTCCAAAATTCTGCACAAAAGGGCTAGGGGAATTTGACATTAACAATAATAGTAAGAAGATAGAAGATGGCGTTGTATATTAGATGATGGAGTAGGCCTTTGTAATGGTGTTAGTTACAGGTACGAGTCTATTTGTTTTCAATATTGTAAAAATTCATAACACTACTACTTCTCAATGGTAAATGGTCATTCCATTGGTAATAGTAAGTAGAACGTAACCAAGATCTTGACATACATCTTATCATTACACTAACTACGTACTAATTTACGTATCAATTCCAATTTTCGTAATGTATCTGTTCAGCTATTGAAAGACACGTCATTATTTTGCGTGAGAAAATAACTCTCACAAAAAAAAGACGTAACAATATATACTGGCTCACAAAATCAGATAACTCTGCACTTCGAAAATAGTAATATATCTATCCGTAAAAGAGATATTTTGTTATTATATGACCTTATGGCGGACTGACGGTCAAGGACAACATTTTATGCGCCAGCTGTTTTATCGCAAGTTCATCAAAGACACACATGCATTACGACATGTATCAGTATACAACATGTGTATGGTTTTAACATTTAAATCGAAGAATACAGATAACGTATTTAAATAGAAATTACTTTTTAGTGAGAAGTAGCAGCCATTCGATGGAGCTTTCATCTCTCAACAAAGCAGATTTACAAGAAATCTGTCAGAAGAGTTTCGATTACTCATCAGTAGACGAAAGCATCAAACAAGACGAGAAATGTATCAACAAGAAAATTCAAACAACGGAAAATGATACTTTAACGTAAGTGAACGTTTAATCAGACCGCCTCAGGATGGGGATAATTAAATGTATATTCAATTGTAACAAGATTATGAATACCATCAGTATTAGTTGCCTATGGCAGTGTGACAAAATATCAATTTAGCAAATTTAGCAATTAGTATGTGTTGCATATGGTTGTGTGACGTTCCATTTTAGTACAAGTATTTATTACTTACGGCAATGTGACAACGACCTATTTAACCATCAGTATTAGTCGACTTTGGCAGTGTGACAAAGTCCCATATAACCATTAGTATTTACTGCTTACGGCAGTGTGACAAAGTTCATTTTATCATTAATATTTACTTCTTACGACAGTGTGACAAGGTCAATTTCATCATTAATATTTACTGCTTACGACAGTGTGACAAGGTCAATTTTATCATTAATATTTACTGCTTACGACAGTGGGACAAAGCCCATTTTATCATTAATATTTGCTTCTTACGACAGTGTGACAAGGTCAATTTTATCATTAATATATACTGCTTACGACAGTGTGACAAGGTCAATTTTATCATTAATATTTACTGCTTACGGCAGTGTGACAAAGCCCATTTTACCGTTAGTATTAGATGCCCACGGTACTGCGAGAAAATCCCCTTTGTCCATACGCATTTGTTGTCTACGGCAGTGTGACGAAAACCCATTTTACTATTATATAGATATGTTTGATTGAGAGAGTGGATGCCTTTACGTGATAGGCAAGGCAGGAAAGTTTAAAAATTAGGTTACATATTACAATTGATGTCCTAGATAATGAATTATCACCTTATCCCATGTGGGGATGGTTTATGAATACGGGCTCTATCTTGTAATCCAACTTTAGTTTTGAGTTTAAAAGAAAACAGACTAAAGAAAAATGTTATTGCTAGACGAAATTTCGCCAGTTAACTTTTTCTGTTTTAAGCAAAGAGGATTCAAAATATATGCATTTTCAGAAAGTAGTACAATTTCATCTCTAAATCTTATTTTCTATGTGTTGATTTTTTTCAATGTAATGATGTTCTCAATTATTGCGAGAAACGTAAGCAACCTCTTGCATATAAAGTCATTTTGATATAACATTGACAATGATCAAAAGACATGAATACATTAATCTCTTAAAGGTGGATAGATGTCGTTCTATGAAATGTAACATTGGTTATACATTGTAATATGGACTATCTATATCCAGGATTATGTCAGTATAATGGTATCTTTTGATAAATAGGGATTTCCAGGGATTCATGCTCCTCTTACCATCGTATATTGGTGTGGGCTTCCTTGAACTTCCTTATATCGTAAAACTTTTGGGACTTTGGGTAAGTGAATGCTTGTATAGGATGTTTTTAGAAATATATTGAATTATTATTGATATAATAGGGTTGATGAAAAATATCGATGTCTATTTCATGTAATAGAAATAAGTTTTATGTTACCGTTTTGCTCTGTATTGATATCATATGAATCAATTAACTGGATAAAAATCCTTCTACCACTGTAAATGAAGAAACAGATGGCTTGGTTAAAAAGACTTTATTCGCGTATCAAATATTGATGCATAATTACATATCTGTGTCAATAACACAGATATCGCTTGACTTTGATATATATATATATGTTGACGTCATAGGTTGCATGTCTTTATAAAGTATGAAATATGTATCCTTGCGGTGAATTCAAAATGCAGATAAATAATGTATGAGGATGGTCTGTCATTAAAACAAACATAAAACCAACCACTTAATGTAAAAAGTACTGTGTATCACCATTGAACAATATACGAATCATGATACAGTATCAAAACGATTTCTCCTCTTTATAAAACAAGGCATTTATTTTAATGTTACAAAGCACAAATGTTAAATTTAAAAAGTTCATGTCTTTTGTTGTTTAATATATTGGCCTGTAACGTTATCCTTATTATGCATCATTAAAAGACAAACATTTTTATTCTTTAGTTTTGATATGATTTTTAGTCGGTACCAAGTTAAATTTATATATAAATGGATGTGCACAACTTTTAAGAATTACATTTCGCTGACGACAAACAAACGTATATACGATTGACATTTGTATAAAACCAATCGTTGATATTTTGAGTTACATGCATTGCCCTTCATTAGACGACAACATTTCATCATTCAGAGTGGGAGTTGCGGTCTGCTCTTTTATGGATTTTTGAACGAATTGGGAACTTTGGTTTTAGCACAAAGTGCACAGCGTCTAACAGAAAGGTAGTATTTATTTTTTGTAATAACTAACACTTTGTTCTATGTAATGTAGTGGCACACGAAAAGATATACACTGTTATTATGATAAATGGCGCAGTTCAGAACATACACGTGCACTTAACGTTCTTCTAGTCGTATCTTACGTATCAGAACTACTTATGGGGCTGGTGCACCTTGACATTTATTTCTGTCAATTTTTGTTTCCCTCACTCGCCTCCTAGGTTTCCAAATTGAGACCCACTACTGACGAGCCGTAAAGAGACGACACAGTTGTATGTTATATGACCCTATTATATCTAATTCTATATTTGTATTGAAAGATGCTGCTCACTTGCGTGTCTTTTGTACAATCTCTTATTCAAGATCCATTTTCCACGAGCTCAAAATGTCAGCATGTAACAATCAATTAGATATCATAAAGCTTGCCGGAATATCAGGACTTCTGTTGTATTGCCATGAATGTTGATGTTCGATGGAAATGCATTCAGCACTGAATTTGAGAAATACAAGTTGAAAAGGATCAGAGGGATGTTCGGCATGCCAATATCATGATATTATCTTAATATCTTAATATGAAAAGCGTTCATTAGTACTCACTGTCCGTCGTTATGAAATCTTCTCCAAAAACTAATTAAACAGAGCGTTATTTCAATAAACATATCAATTGTACATAACTCCTTCACCTGCTGTGTTTGTTTATTTAAGTCAATTTATGGATTGAAATTGGAATAACGAGATAATTAAATCTTTAATTGTTCTATAGACATCAAAGTAGGTAAAATGTAATTTACCTCAATGTATTCTTCTGTATTGTTGGTCCATAATCGTTTAATTATCTGCTCAACTAAACCATATTTATTTTTTGAAAATCAAATTTATAAAAGAACTGGTGATACCTTTGGAGACATGGGGAAAGTTGCGGAAATGAGTATGAAGGTGGGGTCTCCGTGGTTGCAACCTCACGCAAGGAAATTGAGGTAAGAATATAAACTTGATCTATTTCACTTCACCGCCATTGTTAAGTCAGCTACAAGCTAATTTTAAGGAAGGAAGTAAACAGAGGCCTTTGAGTACGCAGATTGGAAAAACAAGCACAAATACAACGAAACTCCAATTTGAAATAAGATAGCTTAAATTTCCCTTTTCAAAGTCAGCATTTTTCTATTTTAACCAAGAATTATACAAAGCTTAAATTTGTTTTTTTTTAATTGGAAACTTCGTGTAAATACAGAACAAAATAAGTGATTAAAATTGATCTATGGAAACCAGGCCACGATTTCAGGTACAACTACCACAGACCTAGTGAGAATATCATACGGAAAGAGTGAGAATATGGAAAGTTGATCTGTGAGGCGACGACGTAAAAGCATAGAATCTGTGAATAGAAAACAGGGGAAAACAACAGGGCCTGTTTCCAGTAATGTTAATTCTCCATAGGAGCCTGCCCCCGTATAATTTCTTATCTAGCTCAACTACTGTTTTTTTCTTTTCCGAAAAATAATTTTACACCTTTCCGACACCCAGATTTCATGATTTCGGTGAAAATGTATTTTTATAAAGTTGTCAATTTCAGCATCAAAGACATAAGTTCGTAAATAAAAGAAGGTTATCTCGAAATTGTAATTGTATAAATTTCTTTTGATAAATATTTCCAAAACATCGTGTTTATTCATAAAACATAAAAAAAAATATTCTCGTATGAAAATGCACTTGCGGAGACACAATTATGAAGAAAAATGCCATAAATTTGCAATTTTCTCCCGTTATATAGTTTTGAATGCAAATTTCCATAAGAAAATCGGATAGAGCTTTACTTGTTTCACATGTGTACCAAAAATCAGCTAATTCCATGTGGTGGAACGTTCTCATATTACCGCCTGAATGTGGTTATAAATTGAAAGAAAAGGGGAAATGAGTAACAACCTTGTCTGAAACCCTATTATATACAAACTTTTATATTGAATATCAGAGCGGATATTTTCATGACATTTTTATGATGTGTAACGACTAAATAAATAGTATCGATATAAAGATTTACACTGAGGACACTCTGATACATGAATACTGTTCTATCTCAAGCTGTCCTCTTCTGAATTTTCTGATCGTGTGGCCTTGTACATTTATCCGTATCTTCTTGTCTTTGTCTATACGTTTACGAAATCATTCACTCGACGCTAGCTATTCTTGTCTCAATTTCCTTGTTTTATTGTCCCATCTCCAAAGCGTTGTGGCTCTATCAGGGTTGGGACCCTGACTTGTCTCACTTTCTTTGTGCCTGCCGACCACGCCACATCGAATAGATAGATTATCCATATGAAATACTTTATTTTGTAATCAATCAATTCTGCGCTTCTTGGAATGTGATTTATTATATTGTCTTGTTATTTTGTGTAATACGTTGTTCGTTATTTATCACACATTTTCGCATAATTGTACCAAACTACTAAGTATTAGCTGTTTACAGCAATCATCGGTGGCTTGCTATTTTGTTACTTTATCGACGCTTCATAAACCAATCTTTATTGTTTCAAGATGGAGGGTAAATGTGTTGGAGAAGAGTGTCAAGTATACATCAAGAAACGTAGTGGCAATAAGAACAGAAGTGCACGCAATGTAAATAGTCCACAATATAAATGGCTCCTAGATACGCTGGTGCAACAAGGATTGATGTCAACAAAGGAACAAGCATTTATTTGTCAGAAGTGCTACATGAAGTATCTTCGGAACAAAAATCAGCCTGAACCTGAACCCGAGCAGAACCAGGAAATAGAGGAAGAAGACGACTCCCCGTCCCATATCCTGCCGTTGCTGACCCTTCATGATCTTTTGAATGGATCATCTTCACACAAAAAATGCTGTCTCTGTCTTGTTACCTTCCAAAAAATGGAACAAAATCATCAGTCTTACCAAAACGTGCAAGACATCACCTGATCTATTCACACAAACTGTGGTGTCCCACCTCATCCCGCGTCTGCTCCATTCACCTTATTGGTAACGACTTAGATCCGTCTACAGAGGTTGTCCTTGATGGTAGAGGTTCCTTGGAATCTCAGTTACCATCAAAATCGTCCGAAATCATTAATGACCTCCTAGAGGTGTCGCACGTCCTTTCACAGAACCAGTCTGCGTTTACAATAAGCTTTTCTTCTCTTGATGACTCGGCATGCATGGCCTGGACAGGTTGGTCCAAAGATCAGTTCCTCGAAATCCACTCGCACTGTTCCCCATATCTTTCATCTGGTATATATACCAAGACTACACACGATGTTCTATTACTTTTCTGGGTAAAACTGAAAACCGACATTTCCTGGAGTCAGTGTTCTTCTCTTTTTGGAATTTCCAAGTCAAGTGTGTCCAAAACTTTCCACTCCATAGTACAGGCATTAGACACATCGATAGTCCCACAATTTCTAGGTCCGGATCACTTGACAAGAGAACAATTGCTCGGGAACAATACTGTCTTTTCAGAAGCATTTTTTGGAGATAAAGCCACTGCCATATTAGATGGCACCTGTATTTATATCTAGAAAAGCTCCGACCACAAGCTCCAGAGAATGTCCTACTGTGGCCAGAAGAAGAGAAACTATGTCAAATTCATGAGCATCGCCTTACCAGATGGCTACATTCTGGACACCGTAGGACCATTCACTGGCAGCGAAAATGATGCTACAATTACAAAAAAAGTCATGGACAAGCTAGTTACTTGGCTACAACCAGACGACAACGTTGTCGTTGACCGAGGTTTTAGAGATGTCCTACCAGTTCTCGAAGCCTCTGGCCTCAATGCTAGCATGCCGTCATACCTGAAACCCGGTCAAAGTCAACATTCTGACGTCCAAGCAAATCTTGACAGAACTATCACCAAATCGAGGTGGATTGTAGAATCCTATCATGGTCGTCTGAAACACTGGACGTTCTTCCGAACGCAATTGGTGTCTAACAGCTTTATCAATGTCATTGAGGCTTTGCTTCGAACCGTCACAGCCTGTCTGAATGGTATTAGAGGACCGATCTACCAGAGATCTCCAGAGAGAGATGCCAAAGATAGGCTAATGGCTGAACGTATGAAGGACCGTTTGACAACACCAAATGGTTTAGCTCAGAGAGTCAAGATAGATCCGGATCTATCTAGACGGGCAAGGTCCGAGTTTGTCAAGATGGATGCATCTTCCGTACTGTTTCCCCATCCCAATAAAGGACTACTAATGCCAGTGCCCAGTTGGAGAGAGAACGATGGGAATGTGTGCGCACATCTCCAGTATCTTGTACTACCTTGGGTATTACAGGACGCTGGAAAACCCTCGACCATTACAACCACAGGTAAAGAAATTCCGATAAAACTTGAAATAGTTTTTCATGCGGCAACGGAGTGCATATGTCGAAAGTATATTTGGTATTACATATAGGTATTACACAATCGCCCGTAGCTATGAACACTCCCGTAAATGCGAAAACCAACCAAAATCATAAGGAACACGTTTTGTTTGTTGTTCTGTCTATTTGTCAGCCAATGTCTTCAACCACGGGGACTTGTGAAGTAGCCATCTTGGATTTTTTTTATGAAAAAGTGTTTCTCTCACTTTTTTCATATCTGTGTACATATTCTCAACATACCGAGCAAATACTCTCGTTTTTTTGTTAATTATCTAAAGAAAGTCGAAAATCGGCAATTCAACCATAGGCTAATTCAACCCAACATTTGAAAATGTTCCACCACTTACATTTTGATGATTTTTCCTCTCATCAATAGCATATTACGTACTACTTAATAGGATAAAAAGTGGTTTTCATCCAACGCCCATAAAAGGGTGTATTCTCTAAAAAACACAGTTTTTGTGTCTAAAATGTTATCATCGAAAATGGCATTTTTGAGGTTGTTTCTTCCATAAAACAGCCGATTGGCGCGGTGGAAACATGATTTATGTCACAATCATGTCATGAATGTATTCTTTACGGTAACTATCATTTGATTAGATTTTCATTAATATTTTACATAATATGCACATTTTATCAACACTTAGACAGCTTCTGAAAGGTACAACTTTGAGGAGCCATAAAAAACAAAGCAAGTGACCTAAATCTTTATACTTTATAGATTTGTGACCACAATGGCATGGGCAATGCACCACCAACAGGAAATTTGAATCAGAGAAGGGGCCGTTTTGGAAACTGGCCCTTTCAATATTTAGTTCTGCTTTCCTTCAATTTTATGTTTTCATCTTTTTGCTTTATATATGAAGCATTACATATTCATGTCTTCATTTTTCAAATTCAAAGATATAAAAATGTTTGAAAAAAATAAGTAGACAGTTGATTCCAAATTACGGGGATGTAAAACTGCGACCCGCAGAGATATCTAAGCTTAGGTTTTACTAAAACTATGAATATATCGTACCAATTTTGTTTGCTTCTACCAATGACAGCAAGACGCTCGCTGAAATTTAAGACTCGATTTAAAGGTCTCAAGTGAAGAGAGGGGAAATATATATAAAATATAGTTCATGACGATACGCAAGTGATAATATAAAGAAAATTGTTTAAAAAAAACACAAGAAAAAGTTAAGTTAGCATGTTGCATAACGTTTTCACAGCTTAGCTGCTCCTCAGTGCAATGTAATCTATGACATCATGTGTATTGTCCACTTACTCGTGACGTCATAGATGATAAAGAGGCATGATATTATTAATTAGGTTGTATACACCTATTGAATGCAGTTCAAGTCCGGCTTTAACAGTTTGATAATTTCGTTCTCCTTTGCTGCTCTTTTGACCCGATTGGCCTCTGTGGCAAATGCATATAGCAGGAATATTTTGAAGAATCCGTTATTACATCCTGCAATATGGGGAGATGCTGGTACCGTTCATGGGAGATCTGTTCCCTGTGCAATGTTACCCGTTTACAAAGGTTCTCGGTCTGTCCCACCTAGAAGCTGTCACATTTTGGACAAATGATTATATAAATAACATTTTTAGATTTGCAATCCATGCGGGATTTTACCATCCATACTTTCCCGGTTTTCAGCGTGATATATGTCACTAAACAACTAGCTAAGGCATTTTTTTTTAATCCTAATACCATTGTTATTTGTAATGGGAGTGTTTATATTGTTTTTGCTTTCATTCCTCTCAGATTTTATATTAATTTCTGTACGGTGATGACTTGTGGTCTTGCTATGCCAGATTTGATTTCACTGATGAACCTTTTTGGACAAGATGTAAGTAGTATTTACAAAGATATATATATAAGATACTGTGTAACACTTCATTTTAAAGATAAGCGATGAAATTTGTTATTCATTTGTGTGTTCTACGTCAAACCTATCAAAACCACACGCACGTGCACATCTTTACAAATTCCAATCATCGGTATTTTATGCAGTCGACAAATATCAATAAATTAATAAGATTTTCACAAAATCAATACGTAAATTCAAAATTAATAAATATTTGAAACCTCCTGAGAAAGAGGGAATTGTAAACAGTTCTCGTTACAATCTGGATAAAAGTGAACAAGAATGACATAGAATGATTTAAACACCATGATACAACCGTTTTGTCCATTTTCATGGGTATAATTACGTTATACAATATTAAATAAACATTTCAATATACATTTTGTACGGCATTACTATTGCTATAAGCAAAATGCTACATATTTGCGGTATTGACATATAAAAAAGATGGTATGGTCACATATCGTATTTGTAACTCCCATCATAAAAGTATCCGGATACTATTCCTGGCCATCATAAAAGTACCCCATATATCATTTGTATCCCCCTCAGTATTTTATTTCATTCACTTTGTACAAGGTAAATAGTTATAGGTACCTGTGTAGGTTTTGCTTTGCTTTTAAGAATTATCAATTTCTTTTGCGTTTTTTTTTTTTTTTTTTTTTGACGATATGATAACATACACTATAGTCTTTCCTGTACATCATAACATCATTACTCAATATTGTGTATTGTATCTTGAATTGAATTTAATTGAATTGAGCTAAAAAGGTAATTAGTTAATGACAGCTGACCACGGCCAAGCACTACATGGGGAGCAGTGGTCACATCTGACAGAGACCTGCTGGGTACGTGTAAATATACCTGTGTTTCAGTTTATCACACTGTACATAAAGACAATGATGAACTTCTTTATAAAGATCTGTTTTCTTTTCATTTTGTGATTACATTATCTTCATTATCTAAAATTTTATAATGTATGGATGTGTATTAAATTTGCATATGAAATTTATAAAACTAATTTTGGTAAAGGCATGTAATATATATGCGTGGCGTTTGCCTTATATCATCACAAACAATATTCTTACAGTAATCCTTCATGTTATAAATTACTCTATGTATATTGGTCCATGTTGGGTCCATATAACAACTAAGTAAATAGATTCATGTAAATACAGTAAAAACTACATCATATGCCTTTTGAATTACTGGGGATACATATATGATGAGCATAAGAAAAGTATTTAGGGGGAAATTGATATATATAGAGGAGGGATACATATAAAACTCTACAAAACGCTATTGGACATGAACAACTGAGGAGATTTTGATTAAATTTGGTCAGAAGCATCCTTAGGGAATGATTGGAAACATATTTTAATTATCTTTTCTCATTGTTTTGTATCTTGAGATATTTATAATTGATATCAGTATACTGCCTGTAAGTACTCTGTATAAGACTGCTTCTAGGATGACGGCTCCTGACAAATTTCATTGCTGGCCTTTTACATAAAGTATAAAGGAAGGGAGGTACATGTGTGACACAAAGTATGGATGTTACTAAGTTTGACTTCCAAGAGAAATGAAGAACATTTTAAAGCAAAAGAACATACAGTATATCATTATCCTATGTCCCCCTAATATTTCAGAAAATGACCCCCTAGATATTATTTTTAAGACAATCATGCGAATGATACTTTTCTGATGGGGGTGGGGGGAATATCCACGTACTTTCATGATAGGGGATACAAATATGATAGGACACCTGATTACTCTTTTGTAGTGTGTAGCGCAAATGTACTTCAAAGGACGAATACAAGAATATCTACATTTCATTAATAAACATGTTAATTACACCGTATTACATAAAAATGGCTCTATGTAAATACATGCTCAAATCCTCGATGAACTGGCTAGAGATAATCGGCTTTTGAACAAAATGCATTCGCTCAGAGATTGATAAAAGTATCTAAAGAAAACCAGTCAATATCAAGCTAATCTTTGTCGTTGCAGGTTTTCCACCAGTATGTCACTGTCAGTAACACCGTGTCCATCATCGTAATTTCGGTGCTGTTGTTGCCTATATACTTAACACGGCGAATGAAGATACTCTCGTTTTTAGCGACGGCAGCAAACATTGTTCTCCTTGGAATATTCATAATATCGTTTGAGTACATTTATCAGGACCTACCAAATGCCAGCACACGACCAGCTACAAAATTTGTTGATTATATAACAGTCACGTCGTTTACAAATGATGTAACTTTTTCATACGGCGGGATTATAACGGTAAGTTACCCCCAAATACGAACAAATGAAACAAAACTATGCGGAAAGCCATGAAAAAGAAAATAAAAGACCATGTACCCCGGATGTGTAAGCGTCTTCTTATTCATCACAGCATTCGGGCATATAAATACTGGCCAAGTTAGTTCTCAGATGGAAACAACATTAGTAATTACTTAAGCACGAGGAATACAAGTGAGCAAAGGACATATCAAATGCATGCTGCACAAGATATTATTTCCGATAAAGAAAAAGCTAACAAAATAGCTTGTCTCGTCATAGGTATTACCAATACGGAATAGAATGAAGAATAAGAAGAACTTTGACGGCTGGAATGGTGTGTTGGGGCTTGTTCTAACTGTCGTGACCAGTGTCCATGTTTGTTGCGGTTTTTACGGATACCTGAGATTTGGAGAAATGACTCAAGTAAACTATTTGCTGAATCTTCCAGGAGATAAATGGTAAATATGATAAGTTGTGTGTTTACCGTATCCTTTCTTAAGTCTTCCATCCTTCGCAGAAAATGTTTGCGAGGACCTGCTGTTCAGGCAAAAAAGTCAAAGGTTCACTACTACTACAAATAGTATATCAATTTCGACACAACCTCTCAACACTTCACGTTAATAATACAAGTTTTGCCCGTAACGCGAATTATGGCTTCACAAACATTTTCCATCGAATCTTGCTGAACTATTAATATATTGTAAAGGATTATCTCTTGATAAGTTTTTATTTTACGTTTTCACATTGTTAATGGAAATATATTCACAGTTTTACAAAATAGAACCAAAAGAACAACGCATATGGTAAAGTTGAGTCTTCTCTGGTCTCCTGTGTTATCAATGTGTTTGGTATGGACATGAACATAATCTAAATATGAATAGATTACCTAATACCCTTCAAGTTCTAATCCTTACTCCATGCTACGATGTAAAATATCTTTCAGGATATACAAGTCTTTGAAAGTTTTATCTTTCATTACCTTGTACTGCGCAACTGGGATGGATGTCTTTGTGATGGTAGAGATAGTATGGACTCCCTTAAAGGAAATATTCAGCAGCCGTAACGAAATCATTGAGAACTATGGTGAATACATCTGTCGTGTTATTCTGCTGATTTTCTCTTGTAAGTTGATCAATAAAATCTAAGCGAACCTTTGTTACGTAGAAAAGGGGCTGCTGAAATAACTTTGACCTTCTTATCAGGTGACTAAACATATCGCCTTGATAATCGATGTTACTTGACATTTTAAATAGGTTATACATTTGATATTTTAACTTTAGTAACTAATTATATAACTGAAAGGATTATTAATCTAAATCTAGAGCTCAATCTATCTTTTTTATTGGGAAATATCATTATGAAATCTTATGTTTATTTATAGGTTATGTGTATCTTACATTACTTGCATTTTAAGGTACATTTACAATTTTGGTGCCAGAGTTTGAACTACTGATGTCACTGACGGGATGTATTGGAATGTTGCCTACGACGTTTATGATTCCTTATATCATAGCCATGTTGACGCTGTATGGAGAGAAAGAACCAACATTACTGATAGATAAAGTTAAAAGGAAATTAACAGTCGCATTATGTGTAGTAATGATTGTGTTTGGGACATACTCTTTGATAGCGGGGACCAGCGTTGCTGTGTATATGGCACTAAATAACATTATATTGTAATTTCTGTGTGAGGTCATTGATATACCTCTGTGCATTGCAGAACACCCCCACCCCCTCCAAAAAGGGGGAAAAAATAAGGAAATCAGTATATATGATATATTTAGTATGTTCCGTATTTGAAATACACTGAACAGCGCAGGAAAGGATTTAACATGAAGACTCACGAACGAATTGAATCGTTCAGCTCAGTTTTCGAATAAGGAGGGGCATATTGAAACAGTAAAAATAGTTATTATATCGCATCTTACGTCCGTTATGATGTCCATCTAGGACTCGTTCATGGTAATAAAGCCTCGAAATCGGTGTCAAAATGTAGACACTGTTCTAACAACACTTGGAAACCTTTCGCAGAATTTACTGAAAAAACAGCAGTTGAAAGAAGAACTTACAAAGCATGCACAATATGTTGTAGCTGATGTCCAACCAGAAACTTTACAACATCGGTCTCAAATGCAGTCGAAATGAAATCAAATGTCTGGTATGGTAATATGAGCCAGGAACGTTGACAATAAAATGGTTATTGAAGGACTTGTCCTTTGTAAGATATCATGTGACAGGAATGATAAGTATAATAGGTTGTTTGTCCTAGATTATAGACGCTGCCAAATGTATGCTATTCCGAGCCAAGACACACATCTACAGAAACAAAGAGTTTACAATATTTATATCCTTACGACGCAGATTTGTTTGGGAGGTGTGTGGATCGGGAAGTGTAACGAAAATGAAATATAGGTCACGATAGATGATATGATCAGAAAGCCTACATATCACTTTCATATCATTGTTAACAAACAAACTTGCCAATATCTAAAATAAATGTTCTATTTCATAACTAACTAGTTTTGGATTTATTTTGTTTGTTTATTTGTAACTGAAATCAAATTTACCGAACATTTATATAATTGATAATCATCAAAACTGGTTTAGTGATGTAATGAATGAAGGTAATAAATAATGCTTAACACAGTGGAAACAGTGGCGGATCAAGAGGAGTGTCCATGGTTCAGAATCCTCTGCCTCACACCCGTTGAAAAATAAAAGATGACATTAAAAAGAGTTTTGTGTTGTCAGTCATAGAAGCAAGGACTAAACGTTAAGTTGACCATCGGGTTTGATACTTTCATATGCCTCAATTATTGTGATTTTAATACTGTTATTCAGTTAATATATGGAATACAAGTTATTTGGTGACGTTTTAAAATTGACAGAAGGAATAGAACAATAGCCTTAGCACTACCACTTTGTTTGGGTATTCAGGATAGACACATTCCAAATATCTTTGTGTAAAGACACGAGACACTACATACAAAAGAAATATGAAACAAACTATAGACAATTATTCGTTTATATCTGTAGTGTAGGAGAGCGATGACGCTACTTATACAAACAAGGGAGACAATCACGTACAATATGTATAATTTATTTACACCTACACATTACACATTTATATACATAATGTATCATTCTTCACATCCACTAACACACACACATCTAAATGATGACTTCCACACAGATGAATATTTACAATGCAAATATCAATGTCACTATGAAAACCACGGCCGTCCGAAGAATCAATGTGGTGCGGTCAAGTCCTTAAGTCCTCCTAGTCGTGGAGTATGTCTTCCCGTTACTGAGCTCATATAGTATACATGTATCATGAAAAGCACCTCACTATGACGTATCTCCGCACAATGACGTCACGGAAACCTGGTTGTACCCGCGGTCCATATTACCAGCGATGGCAAAGACAACACAAGTCGTTCTGCTCCATGACAAGTTATGATGACCACTGAAGCCGCAGCTCTTGGGTCCCTAAGTCTCCGACTCCTACTTGCTTCCGTGCACTTAGGGTAGGAAGTCTGGCGAGATAAAACCGTGGAGCCAGTATGGTCTCACAAAACCACTGCTGACTGTCTTATCCACATCATATGGCCGTTCGTGGACGAGTCAAAGGCCCATCGTTGAAACCAGACATCTGTAAAATACAGATGTCATAAAGACATAGAAATACCTAATGTTTTAAACACCTTCCAAACAACAATCACAAAATGACACACCAAACACAACTATCATTCTCTATGATAACAGACATGTATGTAATACATGTACTATTAACCGCATATGTGTAAGTATACGACATTATAACATGGTTATATAAGCGTAACAAAAGTCAAGTATGTATGCCAAAAGAAAATTAGTGTAGTTTACATGAAAGAGAACGTAATACTTTGGTTGTAATGACTTAACACTGATCAACTTCATTCTATACATATACAAGTTAAACTGACCAGTATTTCTTATACATGATAGCAAAATTAACCTTGTTATCGACTTAGGAGAAAGCTATTTACCATTCAAAAGTACAAACAAACTATGGCAATCGCATATATGAGAAGGTAGAAATAGTATTGTTCTTACGAAATAAAAAACGTAAACATGTCATGCATGATTAGCGCGCATCTGTACCCTACTTGCCTAAACAATGCACGCACACTCTATACGATGTAATAATACTAAAACCCAGAAAAATAAGGAAAAATACAGGTATAGATTCAAAGATAAGAAAACTCAAGAAAGAGTCAATACTTACCCCGTTTCTTGGGTAGTTTCTGCGTAAACAATGTCTGGATTTCGGCCAGTAAAGATTGACACGTCTTATCGTAGTGACTGTCCGATTTCTCACCTGCGCGTGCCTAACGTCCCGGGTATTGGATACGGCCAAAAAAAATATCCGGAAAACATATTAAATACTTACGGACGAAATATGAATCGTGACAATATCATAAATGTGATTTTTTTGTGTTCTTTAACGGCATTTAAGAAAGAACGTTTAACCAGAATTATATTTGAGTGTTGTTATTGTTAGAAGAAATGATTGTGAAAATAAGTATTAGCTTTTGAGTTTATGAAACAAAATAAAAGGTTAATTTATCAACAGAATTACCGATCGCCAAATCAATTATTATCCATTTTGAAGTAGACAACTAACTGAAGTGATGTCATATCACCCGAGATACAGATGAAAGTATATACATCACACGAAATAAAAATGAACATGTTTTCAATTATTATTCACCTTTATATCACCTTGAATGTATTTGTCAGTCATAAATAGCTTACTTTCGATGTAATCATATGCTTATATGATAATTGACATATGACATAAAAAATCTTAAATACTAGTATTGAAATATCTTGCTTGATTATCGTTATCAGCAGAAGAATTTTGCAGACAAATATAATAACATGCGATTATATGCCATGCTTTGTTTACGCAATCGTAATGGATCATTTCAGTATCTCAATATCTTTATTTTTTTGAGAGTGTACTCAAACTGAGCAATATAATAATAATGATACTAATAATAATAACATACAACATTGATATAGCGCCCTACATAATTTCACAAATTACTCTATGGCTCTTTACAGTGCATGTAAAATTTCAGTCATGGTATCAATAATACATTATACATCTACATATATGTATGATATGCTGATCATTGTGTCCGCATGATCACCAAAAAACACATGTATGAACATGTAGCAAAAATTACTAGTCTACGAAAAAGCACACCTGAACAGATGGGTCTCAACACCCTTTTTTTATAGTGGCGAGTGTTGTTGCTTTCCTGGTTTGTGATGGTAGGTTATTCCACAGTGTGGCGGCAACCTTACCAAAACATCGGTCACCATAAGTCACAGTACGCGACTTAGGCACACATAGCATGGACTCAGCCTCTGACCGTAATGAACGTGAAGGCTGGTAGGGAGCTGTTCCATCGAGATCTTTGTAGATGTGCAGTGCATCAGAATCTTGCACTGTGACCTTTAATGCACAGGTAACCAATGTAAAGAATGTAGCACGGATGTAATGTGCTCACGTTTTCTAGTACTGGAAACCAGACGCGCAGCAGTGTCCTGGAATTTCTGCAGGTGCCTAGCTGCCGAGTCAGAGATTCCATATAAAAGGGCGTTCCCATAGTCAAGGCGAGAAGTCACAAGAGAATATAAAAGTATCTTGCATGCATCCGTATTGATGAACTGCCTAATACGTCCAATATTCCGAAGTTGGTAGGAACAGCTTTTTGCAATAGCATTCACCTGCTTTTCCATGGTCATTGAACTGTCGAAGTGTACGCCCAGGTTTTTAACAACTGGAGCTGCCTTAATGGTTTTTGTACCAACTTTAAGCTGGATATCGTGTGTCTGTTGATGCTTTGCTTCGAAAACAATGAGCTCCGTCTTATCCTGGTTAAGCTTAAACATATTGGCGTTCATCCAGGCACTGATGTCTACCAGGCAGGCCTCCGTGTTATGCGCGATGATATCCCAGTTATGTTGGGGTCTGATAACCATATAGATCTGTTTGTCGTCTGAATACAAATGGTAAAGCAGGTTATGGCGACGGCAGATCTCACCAATTTCGAATACAGACAGTACTTTTATCATCGGATGTGGCTGATCCTATGGCCACACACTGTCGTCTGTCACTCAAATAGGACTGAATCCAGCGTAAAGCATCCCCAGTGACTCCATAAGAGTAATCCAGACGTTTAAAAGGTATGCCATGATCAATGACGTCAAATGCTGCGGATAGGTCCAGCATTACAAGCACAGCTCTGCACTTGTTGTCTAAGGCTGCAATAATATCGTTGTGTACGCGAAGGAGTGCTGTTTCAGTGGAGTGTCCTGTGCGGTAGGCTGACTGCAGGTTGTCGTGCAGACTGTTTGCCTGCAGATGCACCTCTAAACGCTTGAAAACAATGTCCTCTAGTATCCTGGATAAGAATAGAAGACTTGATACGGGACGGTTGTTTTTTTATTCCTCCTTGTTTGACATTAGTCTTCTTGAACCACAATGGTACCTTTGACTCGGCCAATGATTTGTTCACGATCGAGGTAGTCAAAGGAAGCAATGCTTCAAGACATTGCTTTAGTAGACTTGTGGGAAGCGGATTCAGCTCACAAGACTTAGATGGCGAGTTGGTAATAATCTTGCGTACCTCGTCCTTAGTTGTTGGTGTGAGCTGTGTCAATGCTTCGCCATCTGATGGTGTGTCAGCTGTCATTACAAGGTTATCACTGTTGTTCACAGTACCGATGTTCATTCTGATAGTCGTGATTTTGTTCAAGAAATGATTGCTGAACTTGTTAGATAAGATTTTTTCAGATGAACAGCTTGGTAGGACTGATTTCTAGGACTGGTCGCCATGCTTACCATAGTTATACCTATCAAATATTGATTAACATAAAGTACTTTGTGCTTTTACAATAATACAACAATGAGCTGATTAAAACTAGAGTATTCTCAAAATCTAAATCATATTTAACGTGTGGAATCGCTACGATAGAAAAGGATAAACCTATATATGCAACCTTGAAGTATGCTGTTATGCATTTAAAACATGTAAAACATCAAATGAGTATAATTCATTTTAAGTTATGAGCAGCCTTATTACTAGCATGGACCTTTACATGACAGCGAATATTTTCTTATTTGAATTTCTAACTTTATATATTAAAGTAAAACATTATAAAAAAAATGTAAAACCTGTAAAAAATTGTCAATATCATGCACTTATAAGACCACGCAATGTTGCACAAAAGACACATGTGAATAACATTTTCCCATACAAACTCTGAATTATGTACACTATAACTAAATACTGAAGTAAATCGTATAGAAATTTGGATTTTTTAAAATGTGAAATCGAAAAATTGATGTCAGTTTACACAATTGGTATATCATAAAATGCAGTTGATATAATTCTAAATTTTGATAAATCAGGGGTTTTAGAGTACATATAGTGACATGTAACTGCCATCTACTTGTGTTGTCGTGATAATTAACACCATTTGTTATAATAGCATCGTGCTAAAACGTCTTTATAAGTCGACTAGTCGTGGTAATATCGCGATGAATTGATGATAAAGTCGTCATAAGTATCATAACAATACTATTTTCAGTAGTGCTCGGAAATAATCATTTAATGATACTTAAGGCAACACAAAGATAAATTCATCGCGATAATTATCACGATTAGTCGAATTATTAAGACGTTTTAGCACGATATCATCATGACAAGTTGTGTTAACATGACAATTTGTTGAGCTAAATTATCATGGCCGTACAAGTAGATGGCTGTTACATGCTACCTAAAAATTCAATATAATTCATTTATGTATTTATATATACATAAACACTCAAGATGAAAGGGTGCTATTATAGATTATTAGAATCACATAACAATCGTTCTGCGAGTTGTTGCTTAGGATTTCGTCATGCCCAATGATCAGAAGCGAAAGATAACGTTAGTAGATCGAAACAAGATATAGTCGCTTTAAGTTTGAGTGTCGCAAAATGTTATTTAAGTATATAACGACAGAGTTATCAACATGTTGCATGTATCAATTTAAAATTCACATTGGTGAATGCAGATATTTTATGTTTCACAGATATATCATTTTGTAAAGAGAAGTATAGTGTAGCACATTCGATGGAGCTCTCCTGCCACACCAAAGCAGACTTACGTGGAGCCAGCTATGATAGTGGTTTTCATTACTCGTCCATGGATGAAAACATCAAACAAGACGATAAATGTATCAGAAAGAAAAATCAGACAAAGGATGATGACACATTAACGTAAGTTAAAATATTAATTGAGAATCATTGTTGATTAAGAATCATTTTTTCCATTTCAGTACAGTGTTTTAGGGTGACAATTTCTGTTTGTCAGATTATCTCATTGGTATAACTTTTATAAAATTTTGAAAATCAAAATCTCTTGAGAACTGGTACAGTTATGTTGAGGCGAATAATGTCGGGTTTCAGCTTTTTCAGCATTATTATTTAACCAGGTTAAAATTAGCATTGGGACAAGCTTAAATTTACACCAAATACTACGTTCAGATAAATCGAGGTTTCCTTACTGTCAATGCATGTTCATGTTCTTAAGCTGTTCCGGCCTGGGTTTTCTTCTGAGACGAGAGTACAACAACTTCGTGTCGTTCATTCTGAGACAGGATATTTAGATTTCTGATAATGATTTGCACAAGTCTGATATCAGCACAATGTTCATTTCTCTTGAACAACTACCTTTGTTATGTAGATTACAAATATACACAAATATAGAGTTGTATTATATAACCAGTCTGCTTTACCTGCAGGAAAGTGCAAATTGACTGTTTACTATCAACTCATTTAACTAGTGTGGAACTAGTGTAAACTACTTTTTATCACAAATGTATATGTCATAATAGAGGACACTATATATTACAATATTTACAACTAGAAGAATACAGTTTTGATCGATGAATTACGGCGATAAAACTATGTAAAACAATAAAAATGATATAACCATAAAAGAAGACAAGAGCATATCACTGTATAAGATGTGAATTCGTTCTTGATACACTTTTATCCGTTTACTTACAGAGATTTTCAGGGATTTATGCTTCTCCTTCCTTCGTATGTTGGCGTGGGTTTCCTTGGCCTTCCTTATATCGTAAAACTTCTAGGACTCTGGGTAAGTTTAGAACATAATATGCAATATTGAATATTTTCTCGTGTCTCGTTTGTCAAAAACAAAAGCAAAAATGTCGTAATTTTTTTCATAATAGAATCTAGAAGAATTTATCTTCTACGCCATTGTGAGTCGATATCCCAAAAATACCGACATGTCAACACAATCTTAATTCAAAATTTAACGCGATGTACCTAAGATAAAATATGCACAAAGAAATTTTATATGGAAACTTCTAAAAAAAAAAACTATTAGGAAAATAAGACCAGTTGTTCTGGAATAGTAAGCGTATTCTTTTTCAACGACGACACCTGTCATCATCATCATCATCATCATCATCATCATCAGCAGCAGCAGCAGCAGCAGCAGCAGCAGCATCATCATCATCATCATCATCATTACCATCATCATCATCATCATCATCATCATCATCATCATCATCATGCTTTGGTTACATACATAATACTTGTGGTTAATAGGTTCATGCAATTCAATCTGATAATCTGAACTCAAATAGAAACAGGTGGTTTGATTGATTATAAGGTTGTTTTGTTTAGAATTCGGATGCGCTGATTCCGTCATGAGAAATAAACCAGAAAATTTTACACAAAATGAAAGTTATGCACATGTGCGGTGTTGAATATGTATGTAAATTACCTTGTTTATTTCAGCAATAAAACGGACCGTAGTACGGATCAATAAAGACAAGCGATTTATCCCATTCAACAAAACACGATAATGTATAATTTCCATAACAAACATACTATAATGCAAAGTTCTATTAATTTTTCCACCATTAAAATTAAGCATTTTTGAATAAAATACAGAAAATGTTTACAAAATTCTGTTTCATATGAAAATTCATGGTCAAGCCAAAATAAAAATAACTTTCTGGTGTTTACTTCGTACTTTGACAGATAAACACTTGTATTCTTTATTTGCTATTTAGAAGCTGATTTTAAACCGGGACGTTAAAGTGAAGACAATATATTGGTAACGATAGATTGAAGACACTGAAAGTTTCATTACCGTATGAGGTTTAATACAGAGCTAGCGAAGTCTAACAAATCTATTACTTAGCCAGATCAATAATGTAATAGATTTGATACGTCAAATGGTAAATTCATTGTCGCAAAACACCTTTCCGTCTATATTTTACGGTAAAAGATAGAAATGAGACATATATTTATCTTCGACGTGCGAATGCATTACATGGATATTTCAACATGGGTCCGTTTAGATTAAGAATATGTTTAAGTCCTATGTGGACATTGATAATACGTATAGGGCTCAATAACAACGAAAAACATTACGATGACTTCTGTAATAAGGAAAAATTTACTTGGCGTAGTTACATCTATTTTCGAGTCAGCTGTATAGCTGATTGCTTCAATAAACAATGTTATTTAATACAATTTAGGGTGGGACTTCTGGACTATTCTTTTATGGATTTTTGAGCGAAATAGGAGCTCTGATTTTAACAGGAAGTACCCAGCGTCTCACAGAAAGGTATTACTTTCTTATTATGCAAAACCACTGTTCCCTCTATTATATAATTCAAATAAAATAATATAAACTTTAAATGGCTTAATAGTAATATTTTCCCTCGACTATGTTTTAGTAATAATTTAGTAAATGTTTTATTTTATCTCAAACCTTTACGGGCTAAACAATAATATGTACCCAATGTTGCGGTCGTTACAGTTTTGTTTACATGCTATGACGGGAAAATTACTGAGATTGTATGGAAATTATATGTGTTACAAGCTTAGATTTACGTTTTATTCACGTCAGTTATGAAGCTTCCTCAAGATATACTCTTCAGCATTTTTCGATGATGTTTCGTGTAAAGATTTCTCTTTTTCAAAGATTGCATTACTTTTCATTGATTTGAAATTATGATACGTGATTATTTAATGCTCAATATTTCTTCTACATCGAAAACACATTGATATATTCCATTGTCTCGATTTTCTTACCTAATGAATATATTTTTAAAATAAATTTATTTTAAAACCCGTTATCCTCAGAACTGGCGAAAGGTTTGGAGACATGGGGACGCTTGCGGAAATGAGTATGAAGCTGGGACCTCCGTGCTTACAACCTCATGCCGGGAAACTAAAGTGAGAGTAAAAAACAGTCTATATAAAATTTAACTAATAGATATTGGAATGGAAGTGGGGCGAGATTTAGTTCTCAGATTCAGATTAATTTATTTCACTCTGTCAAGCTTATGGCATTCTATAATCAAGAGGTCATTTTACAAAGTAAAAAATGAAACATGGCTAGCAAATTAAGTTTTTGGCTAATTACATAACTATACATAGTCATACATGTATGCTTGAATTACAAAAATGACATTTCTCTAGAAATCTGATATATGTAAGTTATACATACAGTGAAAACTGGAAACAGTGCATGGAGTAAATAAAGTTGTTGTAGCTAGAAATACAGATAAACAATACTGATAGATCACTTGTATGGGGTGACTTTAAGAACACCAGGTAAAGATGAATGAAAGCTCGTAGTTTACAAAATGTCTTTCTTTCATAATAGTATGACACTAAAAACATTACATTCAAAGCTTACAATTCATTTCTCAGATACCTTCATAAAAAACAAAAACATGTAAACGTATAAATGTGATAATCTGTCACGGATATTTTGATAACAAATCACTTTATATAACAGTGTGCGTGACATGACGTGACGTCAGTTAATTCGCGCCATTTTCAATCATTTGAAAATCATAAATTAAGAGGACGCGTCACATTCCAAACAGATGAGGTGTCGCTGATGTTTGCTAGATTTCCATCTAAAATTCACTGTTCAGAGAATCTCGATCGACATTTTCGACTTTAAAGCAAAAGACGTTACCAGGATTGAATCCTATCCTGTATTCCACCACTGAATAACGGTGAAACACACCACACAAAATATACCATTTATACGAAGGCTGATTGAGTCCTTTTATTGAAGAAATTACACTATTCCCGGGTTATTGAAGGTCGTGTACCAGAAGACTGGTGTCACTTGATAATGGATAAAATCGCTGAAAGAGTGGTGATTTACTATTTGTTATCTAACATTTAATATTTTAAGAAAGATCTAGCGTCTATGGATATCCATAATGATATGGTAACAACACTAGGAAATGATGTCCCTTCATTTGCGGAATTTAAGCGTGGCAGGCAGAGCCTTGAGGATAATGACCGTTTTGGAAAGCCTATCACTGTAGCAACCTAGAAATGGTCAATACAGTCCATGATATTATTATAGCTGACAGTTAATGCCAGTAATGATGGGATTTCACAGGAAAGAGATACACTTCATTCTTACTAAGATCTTGTTATAGAAAATATCTTCTGACAGCTGACCAAAGGCATACCAAGCGGACTTTGCCGCATGCTAATCTGAACCTTTTCGAGGAAGAGCCTGTTAACTTTCTGCTGAGGGTTATGACTAATGATGAAACATGGGTCCGTAGTTTTATCCCAGATGTCTAACAACAGTCTAAACAATGGAGGCAGCCTGATTCACCCCCGCCAAAGAAGAAAAAGACTATTCCATAAGTTGGAGAGGTTATGGCCTCAGTTTTTTTCTGGGATGCTGAAGGTATTTTGATGGTAGATTATTTGCAAAAGGGACAAACGATAAATGACACATATCATGCATCATGTCTTAGGCAGTTAAGAGAAAATATGAAACTCAATCGCAAGTCACAAGTCAGTCATTGCCATTGCTACCATTAACGATTGTGACTTTGAAATGATTGCGCATCCGCCTTACTCCTGATCTTGTTTCACCAGACTTTCATCTTTTCCCAAAACTGAAAAGTCCATTTCTGGTTCCATTGTTTGATCAAATGATGAAGCCATACATGGAGGACTTTCTAAACGGTCAAGAAAAGCCTGGCAAAAGTGTACTAAAGGTGGTTATGTTGAAAAATAATGCAGTATGTCCGCCAAAAGTCAAACTCTTTAATTTGAGGTCGCCGCGTATCAATCAGCCCTCGTACCAAAAAGGAGTTTTAACAGACCCGTGGCAAGGTGGCGTGTTGCTATTGACTCGTACAATTATTATTAAGTAGAAGGAGCTAGGTATTTTCTATTCATTGAAAAGAAAACAAAAACAATAAATCAGACAGATATATTTTGCGCACAAATCACGAAACAAATATGACAATTTATGTTTTAAACCTAGAATTATTCTCTATCCATAATGTACAGGTCAGTTCCTGTATATTTCATCAATATGTTTAAAAGTGTCATATTTATATAGACTTTTATTCTTACTCCCTGTCTCAATGTTATCACACCTCCATGTAAAATGTCGTACTTTGTAGACATTGTCATATCTTACATGCACACAAATGTAAACGTTTAGGTCATTTTTTTCTGTCTTTGAAAACACTTGAAGATCAGAAGCTCACTAATATAATAAATTGCTTCAAAAAAGTCATATGAAATGAAACTTTACTTGGACAAGCAATCCTCTAGTTTTTTCCAATTGTGGATGTTTCAATGAAGGCTTTTGACTTTGCTTTTCGTGCTTCTTTTTGTTACAGGTTTTGTGTTGACATGTGTATACTAATGACCTACAGTCTCATCTTGCCTGTTCTAATTTCACTCATGAATCTTTTTGGACAGGATGTAAGTAAAAACGTGTTTTAGCTGATTTTCTTAACAAGTACAGAATTGTGTACAAAACAACAACAACAAAACTAACCTCATGCTCCCGGAATCATATTTCAATCTCAAAATCATAGAAACTGACAAAATAGAGCTTAAACGATTACGTGTTTTGAAAAGTTAAGGGTCTTCTGCTTCATTGACAATAACAAAATTCTACATTTGTCCTTAAAAAAAGACAAAAATCTTACAGAATAAACCCTACAGAATTCTCTAACCTTTTGAAGATTTATATAATTTGTTTATGGCTTCAAATTCTGTTTACATATCTTTTTTTATTTTGACTTAATAAAAAATACAAAACGTTGCTGTGATATCAAGCTTGTCACATCTATAATTGTTATAACTATACATGTGTATATGATTGCCATCCGATCAAAAGTCTATCGGAAATATACAAACATTAATTTGGATATGGATACACAATTCACTTGTGTGTCTTTTGTAGGATTTATGTGAAGACATTTAAAATGGAAAGAACGTATCTTAAATGTTCTCGAAACCTATGTAAGGATAACTAACATCTGTTTAAACATTGTAGAAAGAATAGTGTATAGCAAACATTCTTTCATATATACTTATCCATAAATTGCATGTTGCAATTGTGTTGCAGTTTTTTCGCCATTACATCAACGTCAGCGACAACGTCTCTATCATTGTAATTTCATTGCTGCTTTTGCCTGTCTACTTGACACGCCGAATGAAGTTACTCTCCTTTTTAGCGACGGCAGGAAACATCGTTCTCCTTGTGTTATTCGTACTTTCGTTCCAATTCATTTGTCAGGACCTACCAAATGTCAACACACGACCAGCTACAAAATTATTGGATTATATAACAGTCACGTCTTTTACAAACGATGCATTGTTTTCATACGGCGGAATTATCATGGTATGTAATTTGATTTTCTTTATATATACATCGGAAACTGTAATTACCTATCCCTAAAATAGATTTTAGCTGTATGTCAATGTCGTGATATAGATAATATTCACTGCTATAGTTTAACATTTTTCCTCATTTTGAATGGCGATAGTATTTAGCATTTAGAGGCGAGGTCTCCTTGAATAAGCTGGTGACTACTCACTGAAGAACACACGAGAGGCCGTCGTATGTCATCTACAGCTATAGGGGTAAAGTGTTTTCTCCGAGGCACAGCCATAACAGCACAGACTGGTATGTTTCTCAACGTCCGAGAAACAAAATTGGACATGTGTAGGAAATTTGCATAGGTCAATCCTTTGAGCCATCCCTCGAAATTGAAATACTGGAAGCGATAGTTGAAAGATAATACTTTACAATTCTACCGCCATTGTTAGCAATCAATCTTTTAAATGGTGAATATTATCTAGTCATTAAAGTGTCATGATGCTTCTTATAAATTATAGGAAGTCAATTACCAGGTTGATAATATTGAAGTTCACAACAGCTGTAATGAATTCAAAGCTAAAATAAATCAACAAATCAAAACAATTAAATAACCTTCTCTTTTTTAACCGCCATGTAGGTTTTACCAGTGCGGGATAGAATGGAGATTAAGACCTTTGACGGCTGGAATGGTCTCATTGGGCTGGTCCTAATTATTGTGATCGCTATCCACGTTTCATGCGGGTTTTTCGGGTACCTGCAATTTGGGGAAATGACTCAAGTTAATTACTTGTTGAATCTTCCAGATCAGTGGTAAATATAGTTTATGTAATTACTGTAAACGTTTTTCAAATTCAAATTTGAGTAGTTAAAAAAAAAAAAAAAAAAAAAAAAAAAAGAAAAAGAGGGAAAAAAGAAATGTTGTTTTCTAAGAAGACTTTCTTTCTCCTTTTATGCGACTCTCAATATAACTAGTTTTTACGATTTTATTTTCAGCTGATAAATAGAACTCATTAAGAGATCAATATACCATTTCTATTGAGCCTTTCAGTCAACAAGTGATGAATATTGCACGTTAGAACATTTTAAATAAAGTATAGGAAAACATTAATATATAATGATAAAAGAGAATCCAATCAAAAAATTATATATATATATACTAAACAAAAAAAAAAAGAAAGGTAACACTACTTTATTCTGTGATTAATTAACCCCTTCATAAATCCTAACCAATCATGTACGAATAAAGTAATTGATCAATTCTGATAAAACTGCAGTCATGGTTCATTATAAAACTTTGCGTTCAGTTGATTTTATTCGACTGTAAAGGACGTTGGGTCATTTTCAAAGGTAACACCATTAGTAACGGGTATGGCCACCGTTTGCGAAGTAAACAGCATTGCAGCGTCGTCGCATAGAACTCGTAAACCGGCGGATAATTCGAGGAGAGATGTTGTTCCATTCAGAGATCAAGGCTTGGGCCAGCTCCTGCAAATTTGACGGCTGATTTTGACGTTCTCTCGCGCGTTGCCCAAGAACGTCCCAGACATGCTCAATCGGTGACAAATCAGGTGATTTAGATGGCCAATCTAACACCTGTACGTTATTCTGCTGCCATTACACTTCCGCCGCCAAAGCGGTCCCGTTCTGCGACGCAGCAGTTCGAAAAACGCTCCCCTCGTCGCCTCCACACTCTGCGCCTTCCGTCACCGTGTTGCAGACAAAACCTGGGCTCATCAGAAAACAGAACATTGTTCCATTGTCGTAAGGCCCAACGACGGTGAACACGGGTCCAGTTACGCCGATTATTACGGTCACGTCGCAACAAATTGGGTCCAGTGTAGGGACGTCGCGCTTTCAATTGGTAGGCCCTCAACCTGTTGCGGACTGTTTGGGGAGATACACGACGCCCAAACAATGTCATTGTAGTCTCTACTGCGGTTACGAATCGATTGCGCAAGTGTATCAATCGTATACGACGGTCATCCCTGGCGGTCGTTTTACGGGGTCGGCCGCTTCGGAGACGATCGGATGTTGACCCAGTTTGGTTTAAACGACTTACCAACTGGCAAATTGTCTTAACACTGCAACCAAAATGCCATGCAACTCGACGGCGAGACTCCCCAGCCTGGATCATGCCTACAGCCCTTTCTCTCTGTACTTGTGACAGCCGGGGCATAATGATAAAGTTGATAGATAGCAAGATTCGGTGATTTCTAAGTCCTAAGGATCTAAGGAACAGTTGTCAGTTTGAATGTTTATGAAATGCAAGCGAAGATACAAGTTAGTCGCAGAAAACCTCGTGCAGCTCTTTCGCTAATACAGACTTCCACGCTTGAATGATTTTGGTAACCCCCCTTGGATTTTGTAATGTAAAACATTACCATTTTCTAATATTGCACAAACGTCATTTTGTTTTCACTCATTTACAGGTATTCGCCAAGGAAACATGTTTACCTTCTCTCTCTCTCTCTCTCTCTCTCTCTCTCTCTCTCTCTCTCTCTCTCTCTCTCTCTCTCTCTCTCTCTCTCTCTCTCTCTCTCATCTATATATATACTCTCTCTCTCTCTCTCTCTCTCTCTCTCTCTCTCTATATATATATATATATGAGAGAGAGAGAGAGAGAGAGAGAGAGAGAGAGAGAGAGAGAGAGAGAGAGATATATATGTAGAGAGAGAGAGAGAGAGAGAGAGAGAGAGAGAGAGAGAGAGAGAGAGAGAGAGAGAGAGAGAGAAAGAGAGTTCATGAATCATATGAAACGTAGGCTTAAAAACAGATCAGTTGTACTTTAAATAAACATTTGACACATTACATTACTGCAATGATCTGCAATAAATCAACGTTCATATCAATATTCCAAAGATATTTTCAGAAATGTCTGAACACAAAATTGATTTGTGATCGTCAGTTATAGATAAATAAATAAATACAAATGGGTTGATTTCTATTCAAATTCAATAATTTTGAATTTTGAACATGTCTGCGTCACTTCATCTGATTAATAGCTGCATCAAGTTACTTAATGTACAATAACTTGAGGTTAACTTACAGTTACGATGGACTTGGCGTATACCAAAATAAAGCTGTAAAAAATAGATAGAAGATATCAGTTTCATGACCCTAAAGTCTACCAAACTAGTGCATAAAATCAATATATATATGTAACTGACGAGCTTTAAAACGTTGAATTCAGTTTTTAATATTTTCGGACAATTATCTAAATATGTACTTACCCTAAAATATATAAAATGACCTGCTAATAAAAAGCACCCGATCCAACGAAGAACATTAAAAAGAATTTAAAACAATGTATAGAATCTGGTGAAAAGACAAGTATTTTCAGTCTAACTTCGGTCCACAGATGTCTTCTTACAGTATAAATCTATTATCTTGGTGATTTTTAAAAAATTATCATTACATGAACACTTGATTTAGTTCATAAATATAGATAAGGAAATCTGCATATGCAAATTTAACAATTCGTGAATCCATGAAATAAGCAAAAATAAAACAAAATTAATAGTTATACTGTTCAGTCTCCTAGTCGTTGTATGTAATTTTTTATGAAAATAATAAGAAAACTGTAGGAGTTTTGCTTTATCTGATTATATATTTTACAGGATTTATAGGTTCTTGAAGATTCTGTCTTTCCTTACCTTGTACTGCACAAATGGGGTGTCAGTATTTGTAGTTGTAGAAATCATGTGGCCACCGTTTAAGAAAAGGTTCAATACAGAAGTCATTGAGAACTACGGTGAATACATCTGTCGCGTCTTTCTGCTGATTCTCTCCGGTAAGTATAAAATCTAACTGAACGCTTTAAAACATAGAACAGTGGGTAGATAAAACAACGTTTTTCTACCTTATGAATTTTGGTTTGAAATTTGCAGATTGCCTCTATTTTACAAGGATAGCAAACATGAATTGAAAGTTATAACATGCCAATATTGATAAGGCTAAAATCCCCGTAGTATGTAATCAATGTCTTACTAATCGAACAACATACGATAGTCCCGTCAAACGCTATCCAGTACAGTTTAGGTTAAGCATGGAATGGCTGGACTTCTCTAAATATCGAGTATGACCATCCTCTGACTTATTTTGTGAGCAAGTCTTTGTAGAGAAAAAAAACCCATAAATTTCATTCCAAGGTACATTAACAATTTCGGTCCTACAGATCAGACTAAAGTGTTAGGAATACTTTATCTAACGATACTATACAATAAATAGGATCATCGTTTGCCACTAGCACTTTTCTGTTCTGATTTTTAACAGAAATATGACTTTATTTGAAGGTACATTTACAATTTTGGTGCCAGAGTTTGAACTACTGATGTCATTGACCGGATGTATTGGAACAATGTCTACGACATTACTTTTTCCCTATGTCATAGCCATATTAACGATGTATGGAGAGAGCAAACCAACATTACTGGTAGACAAAGTTAAAAGAAAATTAAAGCTCACATTATGTGTAGTAATGATTGTGTTTGGGACATACTCTGTGATAGCGGGGCTTGGAGTCTCTATATACATGACACTCTATAGCATTATTTTGTAGTTTCGGTTTTGTCGTGTTGGCATTTCATATACGCACACTGTAGGTTTTCCTATTATGCGATATATTCAGCACATTTATGCAGTTTTTCTTTATTCATATGTGCTCTGTGTAACAATGAAGATGCCGTGAAATGGTATTGTAATGACTGTCAAGAAATCTGTATTACATCAATGTGATCGAACGTCATATCGAGGAAAGAAAACTAAAAATGATGAAGATCAAGTTCACAGACGGTAAGTCGACTGTCAGTGTCCCAAACCCTTACCCGGGGTATTTCCACTACATCCATGAAAATATATGTGACCGATGATATTCTGATTATGGCGTTCTGTTGCTTAATGGGTTTTTCTCAAGCACACAAACAGTGCACATAAAACCCTTTGAGTGAAGAATTTATCAGGAAAACGCTTGGAAGAAGATATAATCACAATATCTTTTAGAATGGTGCATTTCCAAAGCAAGATAAAAGTCCGACACCAAGCGTTCAGGGACAACATTAAAACAAAGGGAAACATATCCGTTTTCAGAAGATGAAGTTAAAGGTAGAGGTGGATAGTGTGATAGTTGCAATAGTTATTACTGAAGATTAGAAAGAAAAAAGGAAGAACTGTTTCATTGGTCTCTAAGGGAGATGTACTTGAGGCCAAAAAATGCACTATTCGAACGAAAATTGTTCAGTAAATAAGCCGCGCTTCATTCCTCCAAGAACCATCGTCAGCGTTGTGATGAATAGATTGTTGGGCTAGTTATGTTAGGAGAATCAGTACGGGAAGAAAGAAATCGATGGAAAGGATATAACATGTATATTTTAGATTAAGCTCATCGTAAGTAAAATAAAAGGCATCAGTACATCAATAGTAGCCAAATCTGGATATCAGCTGAATATGGTTAAGTGCTAATCTCCAAAAACGGTGGACACACCGGAGTGACTTATACTGAAATGCTACAGCCTTGCTCGGAACAGTGGATATTCTAATACCGCAGCTTGTCTCAGGACACAAGGGGCACTACAATCACTTGTCCTCAATCTCCGACTTCACAATCAAATGGTAACACCTTTTACTGACATCAGCCTATATACAGCAACTGACAACAGCATCAACAGGAGAGACGAGGTATATGTTAATACCGGCACATTTTCAGTAGTTGTCCTAAGTCATCGAGGGAAGAAAATCAGAGAGATCGGAAGTGCATTCAAAGTAATGGTCATCTACTATTTATCATCAGGGAATCTAACTATCACTCTCACTAATCCCGTCGTTTCTGATGAAATCGTAATGCCCTATATGTACATTTATGTGATGATGTAACGCATAAATTGGCCGTGGAAGAAAATTAAGGAATAATCCTTTGTAAGACATCACGTGATATATGCGAAGGATTGTTTGTATGTCGTGGACCGGAACCGGTAAAAAGAGATATCAAGATTTATAGTTGGTTTATAGATCACGTGATCACGACGTCTACACTATAACCAAAATGGATAAAGTCTTTATCTGAATTTACATCACGCATACATAACTAGCACAACAAAGAACAAGTAGATAGAAGACATTCAAACAATGATCTGCCTTGTACAGTAATTTTTAGAGGCAGATGATACCTTTCTGAGGATAAGAATGGCGTCAAATTGCATTTTGTCTACCTTTCAGGAGCATTATCAATTATTGTATTAGTGTTTTCGATGGCATAAGCGGCTTTTGTGTACCTTCAGAGACATCCTTAGTCATGTTCGAATGACTCTTTGATAATATAGTTCTAAAGTCGAAGAAGAAAACTAGATAACTTATCAGATAATAAATAGAATTACATAATTATCTTGAATCGGAACTCCGTGTTTTATCAGTTGTGCTAAACTTTTTTATCGTATGGTCAAACAAAATGAATCCAGGGGACAACCAGGGACGTATTATACGTCCCGGGGACAACTTATAATCAGCAAAAAAATCTTTAAAAGAAAGTAGGGAATAATCATAGAGCCTATCTTGAAAATATTTGATAGGTGAAATTATAATCGGATATCAGTAGATCTAATATGTAGGCACACGACATTTAATGAGGTTACAAATATCTTCCACAACGTGAAGTACTAATGAAGATATTGTACCAAACTATTAGTAACAACACACACTGAAAGTATTCTGTTAACTGTAATTTAAGTTTAGTGTCAGGCTTTTTGACTGATCAGTTTTATAAGGTCTGTGTTCTCTGATTTCATTGGTATAGGTCTTCAAACGTGTAACATACAGATTAGCAAATGACTCGAAATAATAACCCGAAGAAGAGGTCTCGATAAACATACATCAAAGAATGGTTTTGTATGAAATAGAAATCTACAAGTCAACCAGAGAAATCAGAAAAGGTCAAGTTTCCATAAAGATAAACAATAAATAAAGATCAACTCGTGGACTCTGTATAAGTTAACAGAGATATAAATATAGGTAACCTAGGGGACTCCGTATAAGTTAACATGAGATATAAATATAGGTCAACTAGGGGACTCGGTATAAGTTAACCTGAGATATAAATATAGGTCAACTAGGGGACTCGGTATAAGTTAACCTGAGATATTAATATAGGTCGACTAGGGGACTCCATATAAGTTAACCTGATATAAAAATATAGGTCAACTAGGGGACTCCGTATAAGTTAACCTGAGATATAAATATAGGTCAACTAGGGGACGCGGTATAAGTTAACCTGAGATATAAATATAGGTCAACTAGGGGAACTCCGTATAAGTTAACCTGAGATAAAAATATATGTCAACTAGGGGACTCCATATAAGTTAACCTGAGATATAAATATAGGTCAACTAGGGGACTCCGTATAAGTTAACCTGAGATATAAATATAGGTCAACTAGGGGACTTGGTATAAGTTAATCTGAGATATAAATATAGGTCAACTAGGGGAACTCCGTATAAGTTAACCTGAGATAAAAATATAGGTCAACTAGGGGACTCCATATAAGTTAAACTGAAATATAAATATAGGTCAACTAGGGAACTCCGTATAAGTTAACCTGAGATATAAATATAGGTCAACTAGGGAACTCTGTATAAGTTAACCTGAGATATAAATATAGGTCAACTAGGGAACTCCATATAAGTTAACCTGAGATAAAAATATAGGTCAACTCGGGGACTCCATATAAAGTAACCTGAGATATAAATATAGGTCAACTAGGGGACTCGGTATAAGTTAACCTGAGATATAAATATAGGTCAACTAGGGGACTCGGTATAACTTAATTTGATATATAGATCAACCAGACCCCTACGTAGAGGTCAACCAGGGGACTCATTATAAGTTAACATGAGATATAGAGGTCAACTATGGGAAACAGTATAAGTTAATGTGAGATATAAATATTGATCAACTAGAGACCTCTTTATACGTCAACCAGGGAAATCAATATAATGCCATCAGAAATTGTAATGCAGGACAGTCAGAAGACATAGGACATAGAATATTGGTCAATCAGTAGCCTCAATATGGATCAACTGGAGGAGTTAATATAGGCTGAGCAGTGAATTAAATAGGCCAACCAAAAGACTCCGTGCATCATGTACTAGATGTTTCAATACAGATGAATCAGAAATATAAATATAGGTAATTCATAGACCTCAACACAGGTCACTCACAGGACACAATATAGGTTAATCTTTAGACTTAATAAAGGTATCTGAATCAACCTAGGTACAAAATTTAGACCCTTAGCATCATTGACAAATTCTGACAGGAAGAAACTGTGGTAGACACTGGAGGTTAACGTTTAATACTTGAGCTTTGCTGTAACCTACTTTTTAATTCACTTGAGTATTGGCATAGTTCAGAATATACATACATGTATATACTTGATGTTCTTTTGAAAACATCATACATGTGAAAATTGTAAAATCTATGGGGCTAGGGCACCAACAATTCTAATGTAGATTTCGACATTTCTTTCAATAAACTTCCCTGAGCCATCTCATAGATTTAATTAAGAGGCCCAAAAGATCACTGACCAGTCCTTAAAGGACAACCCAGCTGTATGGTGCAGTTTAATTCAATGTTTCTGTATATAATTCTAAATGTGTGTCTTTCGTATAATCTCTCATTCATCTTGAACTGGTCAGACAAATTGTACTTCTTGATCTTGGTTATCAAAAGAAGACAACCAAAAATGATGATTTCTCAACATACGGTTTCCTCCAATTGGTATATTGTGATCTTTTACTTTTCCAAGGGATCTAAGCATACATTTATACTACATGCCAAGGGAATATTCATTCAGAATCTCCTAAGTATTAATACAAATTTTGTTTATGTAGGGCGAAACCAGTTATCTTCTTGCATATACAAATGAATAAAATACATAATAACACAATATACATATAACATCCATTAACATTGATAACACATACACAGATAGTTATGTTTATTAAGGCACACTTTTAATGTCCATTTTAAGTTATCTGAAAGTTTTCCATCATGAAAATGTCATATATAAACTGAGTATATATTATCATATTCAAATAAAACAAAATATTTAAATTCTAAATCTCTTTTGATATAAAGTGTATAAAGAAATAAGGAAAATATCACATGTTAAGCAGAAATGTCTTAATTCTACAACACTAAAACTATATGTATAGTGTAAGAAGTGTCATTGGTCAGAAAAACAATTTAACAATTAGAAATATTGACAGGAATATGAAATACGTAAGTACTGATGACTTAACAGAAACAGACACAGTATTATCAGGTTACAAATGTCCTATACAACAAAACCTTGTAAAATATAACAATGCTACTACAGATCATATACAGATCATAATGAGTTTTTATTTCATTCATAAACTTTGACATGTGTTTAAAGTTTTTTTGTGAGCCTAGACCACATCAAGACAAGTTACATTAAATTTTATATGAAATGATAAAATACAAAATATTTTTTATTACATAACTCATTTAAATTACATTCTCTTAGATTTTAAGGTAAAAATGTGGAGAATAAAATCAAACAGAAGCAACCATTTTGTTGTGCCATGTTTAATTGTTGATGCTATTATCCATACAATGATATCACAATCAATTTGTGTCTGGCGCATCCAATGAAGAAAGCAAAAATGCAAAAATAACACATGGACAAATTCAATGAACAATATGCAAATAATGTGATAAACAACTACAACTGTTGTCCTTGGCCTTATAACCCTCCATCCCCAACAGAGTTATCCGTACAATAATAAAATGGTATTTAATTTTGGTAACATTTGATATATATATAATCCATTCAATAGCTGAGCAGTAACTGGTAAATCGTTGAGTTCTCAAAGGAGCTTAAGTTCTGTAAAAGGGGAGATGACTCATCCTGATATTTGTACTATGTAAGAATTACTGCCAGTATGTTTGGTTGAAATCCACTCTGTAGTATAGGAGGAGTAGCTGGGACATCATTGCGCTCAGGAAGGGACATAACTTTCTGAAAATGGGAGGTAACACTTCCTGATATAGATTACGCACATTTACAATGAACATATGTTTAAGGACTATAGCCAGCAAGTATCGTTAAAATCAATTCAGTAGGTTAGGAGGAGTAGCCATTCCATCAATGCATCTACAAATGGACAGATAGATGGACAGATGGATGGATGGACAACCTGATTCCAGGATATGGCAAATAAAAATCATTGTGTACATGTTAACAAAATTATAACACTTTGGATGATTGAGTCATTATGGCAGCTAAGTGACTTATCCTTTTTAATTTGTGAAAATTTGGTAGTGCCAAATCACATCTGTATGAACATTTACATTATTTGATACTTTATAATTGTAGGTTTTGATAAGGTCATTAAATGTCTTTATTCATTTCATTTATGAAACAAGTTAAAAGTAAGATTTGAAAACAAAAAACAAGGTTAAATATGTAGTTGATATAGGTCCATAGATGAGAGATACCACAAAATCTCCTGTCAAAAGAAATTCATAGTTACACAATAAAATATTAATAGGAATATACCATGATTAAAAAAAGTCAAATGAATAATTGACATAAGGGTGAAGAAACATTGTCATCATAGTTAAATAATCCCAAAATAATCACAATTTATCACAGATATAATGAATATCAACAGAACTATACAATCACTTATTTTCAGAACGTTTGATTTTGTAAACAGCTGATATGTTACATATCTAATCACAGTATTAAAACTATTTCATAAAGTAGATATCTATTATGATGAACTATCACAGTGTAAGGGTGTAAAAAGCTATTATATATGTCTAAACATAAAACAATGTGTAACGAATGCCAACAATAAAGATGTAAATCATATTAATGTCCTTTGCTTGGTGGAAATGCCAGAAGCTCAAGAAGCTATCAAAAAATTGGAGTTAAAAAAAGAAAAGGCAAAATTTTAGTCCTGTATATGGAATATGTATGTATTGTAGATCACAGTGACTTTGATACTGGTGTAGCCTTAAATATATATCACATAATGAAAAACTTAATGAATGCTGTACTTTCTGACAATGAAATTTAGGTAATAAACACAATGTCTTCTGATATCAACAGAGACACTTTTTGCATTTACTCAACAGTAAGGTCATGCCATGTAATGATACGTCTACTGTCAATAAAATAATCCACAAATGCTCTTTTGTTTTCCTGCAAGAAGCTTCCCTTCTAAGGCAGAGCCATAAAATTCTGTGTTTGGTTCTCTGGGTTTATCGCTATATTTAATATTTAATTATGGTATGCTATTTTGACTAATCAAAGGATACTGTGTCACATTTACTAACATACCATATGGCTGGTTTGGTAATTTTTTGCCAGGGAAGATAATTTTGCAGTTTTCCAGTACATTAGCTTGATCATGAAAATTTAGTTAATGAAATAATAAAACACAGGTGTATTAGATGTCCTTTCACATCCAGATTGCAAAATTTTAAGTTTTAAAATATAACTTGATTGTTTTAAAAGAAAATTGTGAAAATTTTGATCTGTAAAATTACTAGCTTTACAATAAAATCTCATAAATTCTTGGGGAAAAGTTCCAGCCTTTGAAACAAGAAAAAAAACTAAAAGGGAAATAACAAAAGACAGATGATGGTGTTATCACACTTTCAGTCAAAATTTTGGTTGAAATTACAGAAGGATTTTTCGAAATTTGAATCTTGCTGGGAGATATGCAATGCATGTCATCACCATTTCAAAAGTACATACCTGAGGCTTTAAATAAAGATTCAAATTAACAAATTTATTTTTGTATGAAAAAAATTCTAAACATTGACTTAAATACATGATTTTTTTCACAGGTAACAATATTTCTTCTTATTTATAATGTCAATGATTCCTATGTTAAACAAAGTGCCAAGCAAATATCAACTGCCTTTGCAATCTATCTAATCTACACCAAATTAAAACTGGTTTTTAGGTAATCTTAGATTTCAATACTAGTCAATTTTAAGTCCCGATGTGACTGTGGCCAGATTTTGGCTTCTATCAAAGGCAAGATCCTGTGGCACTTCAGGGTGCATAATGGGGTGTTCATCCTTTGTATGGCCCTTGGGGAGGGGAAAGTCGAAGACAATTGCAGGGTTGGAGGGGCGATATCCTGTTGTACACGTTGCAGCATTGACAAATGTTGTACATCCATCTGTTGACATTCCATATCCTGTAAATATGCACCAAATGGAAGATTAAACAAAGTCATCAAGATCCCCTGCTCATTTTCATTTGTAAAATATATACATTTAAAGTGAGCAACAACAAAAACTGGAGAAAATATCAGCCAATCACATCAGCCTCATCAAGTATGTGCAGAATTTGCTAATAATCAAACTTGAATAAGGGATTAAGGTAACAAGTCAACCAAGTAAGTATCATCATAATTAATTTGTTCCTTCAAAAGATAACATGCCAAGAGTATTCAGTTCGAGTGCCAAAAGATATCAGCCAATCAGGTTACAGAAGTCTCATTAAATATGTGCAGAATTCACTGTTAATCGAACTTGGGTAAGGGCTTAAGGTAATAAGTGTACCAACCAAGTTTCATCAAAATCATACCAGTCCTTCAAAAGATATAATGTGGAAAGCAGCATCTGGATGGATGGATGAAAGGACGGACAGATGGACAGAACCCATTTTAATATCCCCTCATCAACTTTGTTAGGTGGGGGATAATAAAATATGAGACATTGTCCTGTTGTCAATGAGACATTGTTCCACTGTTAAATAAACATGAAATATGAGACATTGTCTCCTTGTCAAAGACACATTGTTCTATAGTCAGTAAGACATTGCTCCAATGTCAAAGAGATGTTGTTCTGTTGTCATATAGACTTTGCTCCAATGTCAAAGAGACATTGTTACCCTGTCAAAGAGATGTCATTCTATTGCCATAGAGACCTACTTCAGAGAGAGACATACATCTAATCAACTGATCAGTGGATGATATCTCAGTGGAAAATAACTTTTCTACATATCTGAACTCGTATTACAAACAGAAGGATTCTTCGTCATGGTAAGTGTTTTTCATCATCATTATGTATATCAAGTTGTTTTTTAATCATATACAGCTAAAGAGAATATGGAGAATACACCAGCGCAATTGTTCCATACCACGATCTGTTTGTGCCAGTGGCTTCATACCACAGTTAGGTAGTAATGTACCAAAAATGAAAGTTGGTAATATTATCATTTTGGTAGTACCATGAAATAAACCATTTTGTACCATATAATATATATTTTTAAATTTCATATTTCAATATATAACTGAATATTATGGGTGTACTTTGCAGAATTTATGTATGTTTTGTTTTTGTTGATTTGATGTATGTACTCTAAACAGAACAGTTATTTTATGACATTTTCGTTATAGTTTTCTTAAATGTTATAAAAAACGCTTGTTAACACCTTCAAACCTGATTGAAGGGAGGCAACTGCAACAATGCTGCTTCAATCAACCAAAATGTATTTCACGATGAGCAAACAAAGTTTTATAGAAAATAAGTTTGGTACAAATTGACTTCACTGTTTGGTATAACAACCCTAGCATTTGTTTGGTAAGGATATATAGTAGTACATATCAAGTTGGCTTTGGTATGCATTGACCAAAAATGTTTGGTAGGAAACAGGCATGGTACAGAGCAACTAGTATTTGAGTACACTCTATGGGACAAAGTATCTGTATATGGAGCAATTTGTGATGTAATGGCTTCTCAGACAAATTTTTAGCTTCATTTATACTCAAATTGACTGATTTCTCATTTGGCTTCCACTACATAATACCAGGCATATTTATTTATACTGTCCTGTGTCATTTCACTTGTGTAAAAGTGATATATATAGTTAAAAAATGGTTACTTTATTGTTTATCAACCAATATCCAAAAGAAACCAGCCTTACAACATGTGCATGAAGTTTTACTGATGTATGGAAAACAGGTTTCAATATATGTTTCACAAAAACATAGAAACAATTAGAGATTTAATGTTTTGACTATCTGTTTCTAAAGTTACATGGTAATTATTCAACCTACCACCATGGTTATGATTGAACTTACCTTCATGTATATGTCCGAATACATGGTATTTGGGCTTTACTATCTTCTGTACAACACTGAGAAGCTCCACACATCCAGCATGGTTACCTCCCTTCTCAATATCTCCATACCCTGTTAGACAGTGGGTTTTAAACTGTTATAGTGATGATATTTGAAATTGAGTTACAGTAGTTTAAAGAATAATTATGTCACTCTCAATGTACACAAAGACGAGCAAACATCTTTGGAAATTTGGGAGCTGTGTGATAAACATTGCCACATTTAAAAAAAGACTTTCAGATTTCAAAAACAGCTTTTAAAACATTCAATAAATACTTATTTGTATACAAATTGCTTAAGGTCGTAAAGGTCACATAACTTTTTGTCAATTTTACTGTTGTAAAATCTTTGTCATAGCAATTATCCTGTTAACAAAGTAAACTAACATAACATAACATTCATTGCAAGCCTAGGTAAAAAATTCTAACCAATTTCTGCTTAAAAATTACAGTTTTTATCAGACTACAGTAAATTTCGTCCCCTTACATCAGGAAAAATGTGAGATCCTCAGGTTATGAAATTAACAATTTCAATAAAGCACCTTAAGATCCTTCCATCCATGCAGAATATTTAAATCTACAATATCTGTGTCTTGAGAAGAAAATTTTTGAAATTTAATTCAATATGCCATCCTTTGGTTTCGCTCTCAAGCCCCTTTGGAGTGGGAAACATATAAATCACAATTTGAGTTCACATTTTGCCATGAAAGGTTTCTGAATTTGTTTTTTAAATTGGTTCATTTGTTATTAAGTAGGAGCTGAAAATGTAGATGGTTTGTGGATGCACTATGTACAACGACAGACAAAAGATGATCTCAAAAGGTCACTATGATCTAATAAATCTTATTGATAAAAGTCATGATTGAGACAATAAAATTCGTAAGTATAGGCAATAATGGCCCAGTAATGTGGAAAATGATTGCAAAATAATAATGGTATTTACAGTGAAATTTCAAAGTCCAGTCATGATGGAATCGTGAAGGCAACTAGAAAGCCCAGTCAAAAATAATAAAGACCTACCTACTGGGGGAGTATGTGTTATCAGTATATCCGTCTCTTTTGGTATGTTTTTCCATTTCTGTAGCAGAGGCTCACCTCTACACAGGTTAAAGCCCCATCGACCAAATGCAGTTGCTGGCTGCCTGTGGGAAGAAACAAAGGTCACGCATGAACAAGTACAACAAAAATGTATTACAATAATAACTAAAGGGAGTTTCCTGATAGAAAAGATGAGGACAAGTCACTATATGTTATCATCAAGGATATTAAGAGGGGGAAGGAACATCAAATGCTATCATTAGTTGGTGGAGTTGGTGGAGTAGTTCCTAGTGGTAGTGAGATAAACAAAATCTTTCAATGTTATTACACATCTCTGAGATACATTTTTACAAAAGCAGCAATGACCTTAACTACATGTATTTAACACTGACCTTAACATATAGAAATTATAGACCTTTCACAAACTAAAAGATATTAACATATAGAAATTATAGACCTTTCACAAACTAAAAGATATTAACATATAGAAATTATAGACCTTTCACAAACTAAAAGATATTAACATATAGAAATTATAGAACTTTCACAAACTAAAAATCATTTCACATTAAAAAAATGTACATTATATTATTAGTCACTTTTTGCAACGTTTATTGACAGGTAAGGCAACACCACTTAAATGGCTGGTTTTAAATTATAAATCAATTTCCTTACCATCCATGACAAAATCTTTAAGAATGAAATCAGAATAGATCCTAATCTTATGTAGAAAATGACATAAAATAGGCAAATATTTGAACAAAACACAGTCTTGATTTATAGCACATGGAAATGAGACAAAATTTGAGGTATTCAAGTGTAAGTGTATACATATGCAAAACTTACCATGGTGAACCATAGATATTGATTCCATACAGGTTGACCATAGCATCTTCCAGGTATATACAATTTGTCATTAGTTCTTTCACACATTTAACACCTAGATTTGCCATTTGATCCTTATATTTTTTCATGGACCCTAACAATGGGTCCAAGGAAGGTTTGCTCATGATTACGTTATCGAATGAAATTTCATGGTTGCCAGCAATCACAACCTTGTGCTTATGAGGTAACTGACCTGTTAAAAAGCAATGTGAAAAATAGTGAACAATACAAGTGATGTTCATAATTTGATAATAACACATCAGCAGTTTTCTAATCTATATTGTATAAATACAAAATGGATGTATATGCTGTAAACATTTTATGATTTGCAGATTTGCAGAGTGAAATCAGTTTTGTGAATATGTTAATTTGTATTAATTCATATTGTACAATCAAGTGACATATCATTTCTTTGACTGTTTAGTGGATTACAAAATAAAATCACAAAAATAAAGGGAGTTAACTCTTGAAAGAGACTTCCAAAATGTAAATGTATAGTTATTCTTAATTCTTCAATATTCTTATCACAAATCAGTATCAAAGTTCATGATTAATGTATTTCTACAAATAAAGTAAAGTATCATTATTTATTCATCAATATATGTACCAACCTAAATATCTGTTAAATACATTAACAGCATTTGGTTCCCCCTTCATGGTGAAATCTCCAGCATGCAGTAAAATGTCTCCATTTGGTATCATCGTTGGGTCCCTGCTTTCTACTTTACTATGGGTGTCAGATATACAAACAATTCGTACATTATCAGAGGTCACTGGTGTGCTTGGGTCCAGGCGGTTTTCAGGCTGTATGTATGTATATTTAGACTTCACTTGTAAACGCTCCCAAGCTTTGTTTGGAAACTTAGTATATTTGTCAATTATAATCAAGTCTGTGTTCAAAACGTCATTCTTTGCCATTTTGACGAAAAAAAATGATAGACATTCACTGTGAATACTAACAATTTTGAAGCACTGATTTATTATGCTTAATTACATCCAGTCAAAGAAATTCATTTGATAAAAATTTAAACGCTCTAATTTTTTCAAATATTCAATTGGTTATTTAATTATGTTCCCATTTTGACACTTAAACATCTGGAAGTCAAAACTATTTCCGTGTCCGGGATCCTCTGTCCTTGTTCCTTTTATGCTGATCTGATATTAGATAATCTAGAAAAGGAGATACAACTGAAAAGTGCATGTATTAATAACAGAAATTATACAGCACATTGAAAATAAATCTAATTATATTAATTTTGTTGTCTCGTTTGTTGTCATAATTTTAATTTACCATATAAACAAAACATGTAAGGATCAGAGACGTATATATCACATGTGATAAATACGTCTCTGGAAAGGATGAATCAATATATGTTTAGAACGTACTTACCTGCACTTTTTCGTCCATTTTTAAATCGATGGCAAGTTATAAACGATACAACATCAAAATGCTTACAAATTGTATGTTATATAAAGCAAAACAGTCAAAGCATGACAATACAAAATGTTAAATGTGTCATTTTCTATTTTTAATTATGATTTACCCTGTTGCCTGGTTACATGTACACCGATGCTCACGGATTTTGCAGTTCAGAGGATTTTGTTCAGCTGAGATCAAAGGATGCACGAATAACAAACATTTATACAATATCGCAATGCTCGTCTGTCAATAACCACATCATTCCTCCGTTTGACAGTGATAAATTCAGTTGTCAGTCGTTCTCAGTTTGTAAAGCGATCCCGACATGGCTAGTTTTGTATGAGAAAATTAGTCTAGAATTATCTAATTAAGGGAAAGACATTTGATCAACCTTTAGACTGAAACATCTTATTTCTGGCAAATTATATACAAAAGATATCCAACAAAAACACTTTCGGTCTACATCTCCACGCTTGCGAATCTTATCCCGATCGGTCTTTCTTTGGCTTTTGAATCATATTTGTAAAATACCTTCGCTTACAAACACTCAGCCGACTTAGACTAGTGCTGGCGCGCTTACATTTAACAGAAAGTGTCTGTTTTAACAATACATTCTACGATCATCATGGCTCGGTCAATTTCCCCTTTGACTGAACTTTTCCTAATTTCCTTTTTGCTTCTTGCCCTATTTCCAAATTTCAAATATAGAATACCAAGAATATCACTTTTATAAAGATGCTTTCATAAATATTGTTTTCATATAATTTATTCATACACTGTACATACATGTACATCTTTAATAGCAATCATTATGTTTCATATTACATGTCAGTTACTGTTTTTCTGAGTTATATGAACAAAATCAAATAAACAATTGGTAGAAAATATCAATGTCTGATTTCAGAATTATCTGTTGTCTGGTAAAATCCCACAACAAAGGAACAGTTATGCTAACATCATTTAATGTCACCGAGGCGTAGGAATTGATATACACTAACACAATGTGAATTAAAACTACTCTTGAAAGCAATTCAAATAAGCAAGTACAATAACGCAGCAAGGAAAAAGATAAATCAAAGTACACATAAATAAGCACTGATTAAAGCGAAATATGTATTTAAAAGATATACATTACAAAGCACTGAAAACAAGCAAAAAGATGTTTACCACGGGATGAGAGGTAAGTACAGTGTACATGTATTTTAGCATACGCAACAGGCACATGAATGATACATTGCAATAGACGATGGGTCTGTCGGTGTGAATTAGTCTAAAACAAATTAAAAACAAGTATATCTTACAAGAGAATTAGAATTTTGATAAGTTAGAGGATCTTCTTATTGGCCCAGACGGAAACACTCGATGGATCTATATTGCTGAACCCAATTCTCAGAACATCAAGACATTTCATTTGTAACCAATCGACCAACAGGGGCTCAAGATAAACATTTATTTCATGTTATATTTAAACCTTTCAGTAAATAATGTTTAGAATTAAGATTATGGGCCAGAAAATACCCAACGAGCATAGTTTTTTTTCGACATTGTTTCCACAAAATGGTGATGAGCTAATTATACAAAGCCAAGTTGATTTTTTATCTGATTAAAACAAAGCCCGATCAACATGGCAGGCTTCATCCCATACTTTTATCCGCCATTGGAAAACATGGCTTCCCGACATTTCTACATCATTTTTGATATTCCCCCGATGGTCTACACGCTGTGATACTGTAACATGAGTGGAAGGTATATTTACACCTGTTTAAAGCACCAGCCCCTATCATACATAGATACCAGAATAAGCAGAACTATTTGACGTTCATGAGCATAGCACTGCCTGATGGTAACATTTTGGACACATTAGGACCTTTTCTTGGGAGCGATAATGATGCGAAGATTACAAACGCCATAATGGACAGTCTCTCCTGGCTGGAGAAAGATGACATCATCGTTGTTGATCGAGGGTTAAGGGATGTTTTGCCAGATTTGGAATCACGTGGTTCGAAAACAAATATGTTGTTTAGTCTAAAAACCTGAACAGTCTCAACATGGCGACATACAATGTAACCTTGATAGATCCATAAGTCCATGTGGGTAGTGGAATCATATCACAGACGATACAAGCAAAAGCTGTTTTTCAAAACACAACTTGCCTCCAGCTATTTCATTGGTGTCTTAGAATAGTAACAGTCTGTCTCAATTGAATTTGAGGACCCCATATATGTTAGAACACAAGAGCGATACGCAAAGGATACTATTTGTCAAAACTAGACGTTACTCTACCTTAGGGCAATATCCTGTAACACTTACCAAATATCATTGGCAGCTGGCTACTTAAGTGATCACCTCGGTTATGATGGCGAAGTCCTTCGAGATATGGACCTATCGGCGCTTAGGTGGTATTGTATGGTGTCAGATCCACTCGAGGTATAAGAACAGCGTACAATGTTTGGATCATGAATGGCAGTTCCGACGCCGTTTATCCCGTAAAGTGTTATTAACGCTAGTGTACTACTGGACAGAGAACCATGGGTGTGTGTGCCCACGTAATCAGTATCCTGTACTATTTAGGATATTGTATGTACAGAGGCTTCCAATAGCACACACAAACTGTTGTAGTTTAGACTATTTTGTGGTTGGTTTTTTCACAGTGTATCAAATCTATATTCAATTGTATTGCTCGACAGTGCTTGGATTTGATAAGACAGAAGATTGTAACATACGCCGATAGTTCTCCGTGTAAATGAATATTTTCTAACATTAAATATTGAAAGTTCTCCATAAATCTTGAAGTCTTTCCCCGCATGTTGGTGTACCTTCTCTGGTTTTAAAGATTAACGAGGTAGATAGTGTTCCAAAGTATGGTAAGATGAATCATTGCTCATTCTCGTATGCATATTGAAATTCAGTTAAATCGGAGGCAGTCTTCATAAGATTTTTTTTCGTTTACAGAACGTGCCGGAGTTTCTAGATTGGGGTTCCAAAAGGTTCAGTTGTAGGCCCGGAATTATTATGACATCAGCATATAATTGATAATAATAATAATAACGTCAAATTTAGTATTCTTGAGGAAGACATTTAAAGACTGAGAGATCTTTCACAATGTCAGCAGTTGTAGTTTGGTGTTGATAGTGTGTATTATTTAAGTGTACAAAATGGTGGAAGAAAGTGTAAATACAGTGTGCAGCTATGTTCATTTTGTCGGTTACAATGTATACCAGCAGTAAAAAGAAACGCAAGTTCGGCATTTGCAATGTAACTTTTAGACACTTGGACGAAATTTAACTAAATTTGAAACCTCCGCCCATTGTGGAAATGATCTGCGGTTAAAATTTTGTCGCCCGTGACCCCCTCGACGCCGTATGCTTTCGGGAGATTTTTCAAGAAAGCGTGCATCCAGGATACTCCTTCACCATAGGTGTTGATAAATCATTACAAATCGAACATTGGAACAATACAGGTTAGCTGCTCAACATTTCTTTTCGAAGCGATTGTAGAGCGAAATGCCGCGATTGAGTGAAATCGATAGGGGTAGGGCCATTGCTCTGATAATGATAATGTAAGACAGCAATATGGTATAAACGAGACAACAATATCCCGTTTTGTTGGGCGTCTCAGAGCCACAGGGAACTTGGATGGCCGTCCAAGGCGCGGTCGCGACGTCCAGATAGAGGCGTACGTCTCTCGCATCACCGTTTCCGATATCAGACGGCGACGAAGACGGTACGCCAAGTTGTCGACACTCATTGTCGGCCAGTGTATCCAAGAACGGTTAGGAATAGGTTGCGAGAGTTTCATTTAAGGTCACGACGCTCCTATATTGGATCGCCACTTATGCATAGGCGTCGCCAAAGTCGAATGCAGTGGCTGCTTGCACATGCACCTAACCTGTTTCGTTTTGCCCATTGGAGACATGTGTTGTTTACTGACTGGTATAGAGGCCTCATAGGCCTGCTCCAGACAAATATCCTTAAGTATTCTTAAGTAAGTATTCACACTTAACAGGTCAGATGGACGACAACGTGTCTATCGATGTCGTGGTGAGCGTTATTCTGACGCTTACGTAACGGAAAGCGACAGTTTGGGGGAAGATGTTATGGTATGGACAGGAGTATCTCAAAGCGTGAAAACACCTCTCGTGGTTATCCCTGGCAATCTTACAGCAGTAAGGATCTTGTCTTGAGATCACGCATCCTTCCTCCTATCCATCAACATTACCTTACGTGCAGCAGGACAACGCTAGGCCGAATGTTGCTATTGTTTATCGTGACTTTCAGGCTCAAAGCAACGTCCCGGTTCTTGATTGGCCACCATACACTCCAGAGTTGTACCCAATCGAGCATTTGTGGGACGAGCTGGACATTAGGGTTAGGAAGCCCGTCAACGTCTCATATAACGTCGCTTATCTCACGCAGACCTTTATTTAGTAGTGGAATAATATCTATCAAAGGGCAATAAACTCCTTAATGGGGTCAATGTTAAGGAGAGTTAGAGCACCGACTGAAGCCAGGGATGCGACCACACGCTACTAGTGTGGACCAAGAAAAGGCATAGGCTACCCGTTCTTTTAACGCTGTTCACGCAGACGCCATCTGTTGTAGGACAACAAAAATCATCAAAATGTATTCAGTAGTGATGAAATAATTGAGGAACCCAAACAATGAAGTAATCATCAATGAATCATGTAAAATAATAACTATCGAAAATTAACTTGCGTATCTTCTTTCTGCTAGTATACATTAAAAACACAGTGCACATACTTGGATATGCGACTATTATATATTTAAATTTTAATTGTAATATTCATATTAAAACAATGTTGTCTACAGCAATAAAAATGCTAGGGTTTTAGAAACGTGCATGCAAACAATTTCTTTCAATAGATAAAGAGTTTTGTGTTTAGAAACCAAAATAAACTTTAATGATTTGTTACACAGAAAGTGTCTTCAGACGGAGTTTAAATGACACTGTCTCCCTTTTTTAAATATGTCACAGCTTTTCTTATTGCTTTGATCTTTTTAATTCCTTTCCACGTGATTATGTTCATATTGTAGAATAAAACATCCATAAAGACCGTCCGTCATCTTTTTGTCAAAAGTCATATATTTTAGTAGACCATGAATCAACTCAACTAAGATATTCTGTATTTAAAATTGGTAAGCTTTAGAATGTGAAAGGATACTATTATTCTAATCCATCGGACAAAATTATCCACACTTCCGATGTGGGTAAGATTTATCTTACCCGGGGTAAAACAGTCCGCAGGCACAGGACATAAACACGTACTGAACTCGTAAGCATTCATCCCCTCGGGAGTGAGATTAATAGAACCGTTCATTCACTTTAGGGTCAGAAAGAGGGATCATAACACACTAGGGAGATTGTTAATCTCTCTAACACTCGGCGAGCTTCGTGTTTGATAACTTTATAATCTCCCCCTCGAGTTGAAATCCCCCTCTCTCACCCCAAAGGGACTGTTGGATCAGCGGAAGTTGTACTTAAAAGTTGTCGTTTGGAATTATCGGAAAACCTTTTCCCCTTCCCAAGTTCTTTCAAGTTTTTATATTACTGCTAAGTTACCCGTGTTACAATGAAAATATTCCACATTTCTGTCTCAAAGCGTTTATCGACTCGAGTCATGGATGATTATGTTGCTTTCTTTCATAGGTCTGTTATCTGTTGTAAGAGTTGTTATGATTGGTTCCGTTGATGCCGACAGGTAGAGCAGTTAAAACAAAGTGTTTTCCATTACAAAGGAGTGGACATTAAACATATATACTCTCCCATGTTTACAAGGATTGTATATATACAATACACATTTAACACAACACACATTTCACAGAACTAACGATATACAAATTAACTTTCTTTATTTATGCTGAAACACGTTCTGAATTGTATATGTATTATTATTTTATTGTCCTATCTTATCGTCTGTAGATAACAGTCGAGTGTTGAATCGTCTAACCTAGTGTACAGTAAGTGACACCAATACAGATGATCACTTGTAATGTTGTTGTAGATAATGCTGTAAGTCATTCTTTATTTTCAGAACGATGACCTTTAAAGAAAGGTGAGTTGTATTACATGTCGGTTTCAGACGGTGTGATGCTGTTGCAAAATCCAAACTGAGATTGTCGAGATTTGCACTGAAGCACATTCATGGACACCGATATGCAAAATGAATTGTTTAGGGTTATTCTATTGACAAAATTGACCTGTATAGTGAACCATATAATTTATAAACTGTACGATAAGATGACATGCATGTTTAGTTAATCATCACTGAAAATAAATTGTCTCGAGTTTGGCGTCAAGGGAGAATTGAATGAACTTAAGGATTTCGTAAAAAAATGTTTCCGAAACACAGTCTGATACTCATTATATATATATATATCAAGGAAAGTCTTCTAACATTTCTTTAACGATGTCTCATTGTTATGGCTGTATACATAGTGACTATATATATTTACAAACACTTATTTGTTCACGTTGACCTCCTTGTGTACATTTAAAACTCGTCAAGTATTTAAGCACTCTCGTATCATCTTATTATGGTTCTAAATCTAAATCTTACTGTCTCGTGGTAGATTGATGACCGCAGTTTATGATAGCTCTACATACACGTGGAATTTTATATGATAAGTTTCGTGTGTGAAATTGAAGACAATGCTGGTATATATACTGCCGGGGTGTATTTGTTGTACTATTTTGTACTTAATTATGAACTTGACCAAAGCGGGTCATTGCATTATCTTATAAAATAAACTGGTAAATATCTTCTGTAGAGACATACAATGTATCTTCCATACCGCTCAAGATTTTTAATTGCATTTATTAAATGAAAGGTTCCTTATAAAATCAAATTATTTTTTATGTTTATTAAAGTACTGATGATTTTTTTAATCTTCTATTTGGTCCAAGGGGAAATTCAACTAAAAATGCTTAAGACAATTATCTTTATTCCTTCATCTGACGAAGACGAAATTTCCAATAAAAGTTTTCCTTCCGTAGTCCGTCCGACCGTCCGTTATTTACACGTGTAATATTATAAGGTCCTATTTGTATATCCCTTATTTCGAGCATACTTAGTGATGGCTGCCAGTAACCATTTTGTATTTGAGTATATGATTACTTTTTAAAAGTCTTACAGATAACAGGAAACACAAAACTAGTGATTGAGATCTTCACATTGTAGACATCATGATCCTTGTGCGATCTCATTTTTTAAAGGTTATTGTCACACACCGTTTGTTTGAGTTGTCTGTTGTTAACACTGCTCAGACCAATGGACGGTAGACTACCAGATGATCATACTGCCAGTAAAATGGTGATGCCGGAGCCAGAGGAAACAATAACAGGTAAATACATTACAAAAGAAGATAATAACACTGTCAGGTGATACATTATGTATTTGTCAATTGATAGGACGCGGACATAGTTATGTCACTTTTCGTATTTACAATCCTGGTTTTATTAAGAGCAATTTTAGCGCGGGATGTTAAAAAATACATTCATTTTTTATAAATCTGAATCAGCAAATTTAATATTATATTTTTTGGTGTTGAACATTTTAAGATTTGAATGCAACGTTACTGAAAATAATTCTTGTCGTGTTTGAAATAGGTGTCACTTCCACATTCACGGTAAAATATCCAATACAATTCTTTCTAAAACTTTTTTTTAAAATCAATATCCTCTAGGAATCTAATTTGGCCCCTTGGGCTTTCAAATTCCAATACACATCTCCAAAAACAACATCATGATGATACGAAAATGATCTTTAACATTATTATTGAATTTGTATTCCTCTGTTTAAGGACGAAGTACAGGAATGGTCGTCTCCCCTACCCATGCCGTCAATAAAAACCCCACAGAACCTCCGTTTCCAATGGACATGAGATTAGCCATGTTTGGTAAGGAAAACAAATTCAACTAAACTGGTATTACCCTCGCACAATGCCAACATGTAGACACAGAATCTATGCATTCGTGAAAACTTAACATTACGCCACACAATAAAAAGTAGGTATACATGTAAGCCATACCATCAACACAAAGTTACACACAATATGATATACCGTAGCGGCAGCAAAGAATACCAAACTCTATATTAAATACAATAAACCAGGAACAGATCATGCTAAAATTAACAGCTATATCACACACCAGAACAACTAGATGGTCCTTGAGAGGGAGGGCAACCGGATACTGTGAAATCTGTAAAGTTCTACCATTGCGCCAACACCAAATTCCTCCTAAAGTCATTATATATAACATGTACAATCTCAACTCCTACATTATATAACATGTAAAATATCAACTCCTGCATTATATAACATGTAAAATCTGAACTCCTACAGTCATGATATATAACATGTAAAATCTCAACTCCTACATTATATATAACATGTAAAATCTCAACTCCTGCATTATATAACATGTAAAATCTCAACTCCTACATTATATAACATGTACAATCTCAACTCCTACAGTCATTATACATAACGTAAAATCTCAACTCCTACATTATATATAACATGTAAAATCTCAACTCCTACATTATATAACATGTACACATTATATATAACATGTACAATATATAAGTCATGATATATAACATGTAAAATCTCAACTCCTACATTATATATAACATGTAAAATCTCAACTCCTACAATCTCAACTCCTACAGTCATGATATATAACATGTAAAATATACATTATATATAACATGTAAAATCTTATATATAACATGTAAAATCTCAACTCACTCCTACAGTCATGATATATAAACATGTAAAATCTCAACTCCTACATTATATAACATGTAAAATCTCACCTCCTACATTATATAACATGTACAATCTCAACTCCTACAGTCATTATATATAACATGTAAAATCTCAACTCCTACATTACATAACATGCACAATCTCAACTCCTACACTCATTATATATAACATGTACAATCTCAACTCCTACATTATATATAACATGTAAAATCTCAACTCCTACATTATATAACATGTACAATCTCAACTCCTACAGTCATTATATATAACATGTAAAATCTCAACTCCTACATTATATAACATGTACAATCTCAACTCCTACATTATATAACATGTACAATCTCAACTCCTACATTATATAACATGTAAAATCTCATCCTACATTATATAACATGTACAATCTCAACTCCTACATTATATATATAACATGTATATAACATGTAAAATCTCAACTCCTACAGTCATTATATTTAACATGTAAAATCTCAACTCCTACATTATATAACATGCACAATCTCAACTCCTACATTATAAAACATGTACAATCTCAACTCCTACATCATGTAACTCCTACATTATATAACATGTACAATCTCAACTCCTACATAATTATACTCAATCTCACTCCTACATTATATAACATGTAAAATCTCAACTCCTACATTATATAACATGTACAATCTCAACTCCTACATTATATAACATGTACAATCTCAACTCCTACATTATATAACATGTAAAATCTCAACTCCTACATTATATAACATGTAAAATCTCAACTCCTACATTATATAACATGTAAAATCTCAACTCCTACATTATATAACATGTACAATCTCAACTCCTACATTATATAACATGTAAAATCTCAACTCCTACATTATATAACATGTACAATCTCAACTCCTACATTATATAACATGTACAATCTCAACTCCTACATTATATAACATGTACAATCTCAACTCATTATATAACATGTACATTATATATATAACATGTAAATCTCAATATAACTCCTACATTATATAACATGTACAATCTCAACTCCTACATTATATAACATGTACAATCTCAACTCCTACATTATATAACATGTACAATCTCAACTCCTACATTATATAACATGTACAATCTCAACTCCTACATTATATAACATGTAAAATATCAACTCCTGCATTATATAACATGTAAAATCTCAACTCCTACATTATATAACATGTACAATCTCAACTCCTACATTATATAACATGTACAATCTCAACTCCTACATTATATAACATGTAAAATCTCAACTCCTACATTATATAACATGTACAATCTCAACTCCTACATTATATAACATGTACAATCTCAACTCCTACAGTCATGATATATAACATGTAAAATCTCAACTCCTACATTATATAACATGTACAATCTCAACTCCTACATTATATAACATGTAAAATCTCAACTCCTACATTATATAACATGTACAATCTCAACTCCTAACTCCTACATTATATAACATGTAAAATCTCAACTCCTACATTATAAACATTATAACATGTACAATCTCAACTCCTACATTATATAACATGTAAAATCTCAACTCCTACATTATATAACATGTAAAATCTCAACTCCTACATGTACAATCTCAACTCCTACATTATATAACATGTATAACATGTATCTCAACTCCTACATTATATAAACATGTACAATCTCAACTCCTACATTATATAAACATGTAAAATCTCAACTCCTACATTATATAACATGTAAAATCTCAACTCCTACATTATATAACATGTAAAATCTCAACTCCTACATTATATAACATGTAAAATCTCAACTCCTACATTATATGTAACATGTATATAACAATCTCAACTCCTACATTATATAACATGTACAATCTCAACTCCTACATTATATAACATGTAAAATCTCAACTCCTACATTATATAACATGTACAATCTCAACTCCTACATTATATAACATAACATGTATATAATATATAACATGTACAATCTCAACTCCTACATTATATAACATGTACAATCTCAACTCCTACAGTCATTATACATAACATGCACAATCTCAACTCCTACATTATATAACATGTAAAATCTCAACTCCTACATTATATAACATGTACAATATAACATGTCAACTCCTACATTATATAACATGTACAATCTCAACTCCTACATTATATAACAACTCCTACATTATATAACATGTACAATCTCAACTCCTACATTATATAACATGTACAATCTCAACTCCTACAGTCATTATACATAACATGCACAATCTCAACTCCTACATTATATAACATGTAAAATCTCAACTCCTACATTATATATAACATGTAAAATCTCAACTCCTACATTATATAACATGTACAATCTCAACTCCTACATTATATAACATGTACAATCTCAACTCCTACATTATATAACATGTACAATCTCAACTCCTACATTATATAACATACAATCTCAACTCCTACATTATATAACATGTACAATCTCAACTCCTACATTATATAACATATATCTCAACTACATTATATAACATGTAAAATCTCAACTCCTACATTATATAACATGTACAATCTCAACTCCTACATTATATAACATGTACAATCTCAACTCCTACATTATATAACATGTACAATCTCAACTCCTACATTATATAACATGTAAAATCTCAACTCCTACAGTCATTATACATAACATGCACAATCTCACCTCCTACATTATAAAACATGTAAAATCTCAACTCCTACATTATATAACATGCACAATCTCAACTCCTACATTATAAAACATGTACAATCTCAACTCCTACAGTCATTATACATAACATGTACAATCTCAACTCCTACATTATAAAACATGTAAAATCTCATGCACAATCTCAACTCCTACACTCCTACATTATATATAACATGTACAATCTCAACTCCTACAGTCATTATATATAACATGTAAAATCTCAACTCCTACATTACATAACATGCACAATCTCAACTCCTACATTATAAAACATGTAAAATCTCAACTCCTACAGTCATTATACATAACATGTAAAATCTCAACTCCTACATTATATAACATGTAAAATCTCAACTCCTACATTATATAACATATAAAACATTTTTTTTAATTATTTGTTTGCATTTCATTTTCCAAAAAAGGTATGGGATGTTTTTGGGGTGCCGAGAGAAAATTTTGGACACATGCTGGCGTGTACTCAACACAGGTTAGTCAAATACGTATGTATAAACTGTATAGTGTTGTGCTATGTACACGGCCTTTGTGGGAAAAAATAGCAATGGTTCAGCTTCTTTCTATATCCTATCATTTCTTTGGGTTAACTTCGATTTCACGAATTCACTTGCTGGATTGGTTTTTAGCATCACCACAAAGTCAGAGAACAACGAAACATCTTTCATCGGCATATACCGGCTGTTACAGCCATAAGCATGTCAGCATTGAAACATACATTTCACTTATGTTTCTAATGTTCATTATTTCGAAGTTGTGACAAAATGATAAAATTATTACAGCTTGAAAAACAATGAATACAATGATACAACATATCGTAACATTGAAAAGCACAATAACAAAATGGTACAAATTGACAAATTACGCAGTGTTAAAAATAACTCAGATGTTTTCTACAACGAACAAGAAAATACCAACATTATCATAATCTAGACTCAAATTCAATAAAACTAGGGGGAAACATGAACATGAACAAAAGAAAGATTTACACGGAGTAAAAGTACAAGGAGAACAGGAGCAAGTGTTCCAGAATAGTAAGCGTCGGCTTTATCGATGGCAACATCCATGTAAACAATGGTCAATTCAAGGAAGTGGTGAGAACAAGACATACAACAACAGGACAAACAGGCAAATTAATGAGCATCAAATACGTTAGCATCATATCGCACATTGAATATTTCTCAATGAGATCACTATGACGACCTGAAATCTTCCCAACAATTCATATCAACTTACATCATTTGAAAGCTTGTGTTACAATTTTGTCCGACAGTTGACAAGTTCTTGCACGAATATCAACAACAACAGTGAAATTGAAAACATCACACTTATCATAGAGCTTGGTGGAAAGATGACCATGTTGGTTTTGTTGTAGGAAAAGATTGAGATAAGGGGCTGATGTAGAAGAGTCTATCGTGTCTTTGATTTCCAATTCTACTGTGTGTATATACGATTGAAGACAAGACGTCATTAATACAATTGAAAGTTGTATGAATAAGAACACACACAGACAGAATAAAATGCAAGTGAAAATATACTTAAGTATCGTTTCTGTGTTCTTGATGTTGTAGGTAGGGTACGCTAATGGTTACACTCCAAATCCGACGTATGAGGAAGTATGTACCGGTGGAACAGGACACAGCGAGGTGGTCCGGGTGGTATATAACCCAAACCAGACGAGTTACACCGACCTACTACAGGTATGTACTCAGTGTAAATCTAACGTTACATCGACCTACTACAGGTATGTACTCAGTGTAAATCTAGCGTTACACCGACCTACAACAGGTATGTATTCAATGTAAATCTAACGTTACACCGACCTACTACAGGTATGTACTCAGTGTAAATCTAGCGTTACACCGACCTACAACAGGTATGTATTCAATGTAAATCTAACGTTACACCGACCTACTACAGGTATGTACTCAGTGTAAATCTAGCGTTACACCGACCTACAACAGGTATGTATTCAATGTAAATCTAACGTTACACCGACCTACTACAGGTATGTACTCAGTGTAAATCTAGCGTTACACCGACCTACAACAGGTATGTATTCAATGTAAATCTAACGTTACACCGACCTACTACAGGTATGTACTCAGTGTAAATCTAGCGTTACACCGACCTACAACAGGTATGTACTCAGTGTAAATCTAGCGTTACACCGACCTACAACAGGTATGTATTCAATGTAAATCTAGCGTTACACCGACCTACAACAGGTATGTATTCAACGTAAATCTAACGTTACACCGACCTACTACAGGTATGTACTCAGTGTAAATCTAACGTTACACCGACCTACAACAGGTATGTATTCAATGTAAATCTAACGTTACACCGACCTACTACAGGTATGTACTCAGTGTAAATCTAACGTTACACCACCGATCAACTACAGGCTTATAATCCGTGTAAATCTAACGATACACCGATCTACTGCAGGTAAATACTGAGTTAAATTCTAATGTTATACCGATCTGCTGCAGGCATATATTCAGTGTAAATCTAACATTACACAGCGAAATACAGGTGTATATTCAGTGTAAATCTAACATTACACAGCGAAATACAGGTGTATATTCAGTGTAAATCTAACATTACACAGCGAAATACAGGTGTATATTCAGTGTAAATCTAACATTACACCGACCTACTACAGATATATAATCAGCTGAATTCCATTGTATCCTTTGTAGAACACAACGTAATGGTAAGGATATCGTTTCTGTTACCTGCCAACCCACGAAGTCCTTCAAATTGTTGACCGACTTCAGTATGTTCAATGGGGTGTCCTGCTATCGTGTCTAGGAATGTGGTCCTTAAGTGGTCTCATTAATCTTGAGAACCATCTTCATATGACCTTGGATATAACATAAAGACCCGAACTTAACTATCCTTCACATGTGTGAGCTCCGTAAAAACAGTTTATTTGGCCAACTACAGGTTAAAAGGCTATTGTAACTAATTACTATCAATTCCGTCTCTAAAGGTTACACAGAGGAAAAGTGGTCTTTATAGGCAGGTGACTTTTAATAGAGGTACAGTGTATAAATATTATTAACTGTGTTATACTGGGACTCAAAACCAATGTCCTTTAAAGATATGTATCTGTAATATTCAGGTAACGTTTAAGACAGGTTTGACTGCACTTGACAATTTTTACTTGTATACGAAGGTACAGCTCGCGTTCATCATAAACAGTATTGTTAAAACAAATAATATATGTCTTTACTGTATTTATAACTTTAAATGTGTGAGTTATAATTCATCTTATGCAAGACAACTAAAGACTTTTACAGAAGATAGCTATCAACGGCCAAATTTAAGATTTTGATTTCATTTTCCATCAAATCAGTAAAAGTTTTGCAAAATGTTCTATTTAAAGTCCTAAATCAAGAGATTGCCACTGGCATTGATATTAGATATTGAACCCAGAATCATACTTTACAACAGATTATAAAAAAAGTTTATTTTGCTACCATAAAAACCCGTGCGTGAAGTGCAGATTGTTTTTCTTGAAAAGTCCAAAGTGGGGAGTGTGCACATAACATACAATGTTTCTGAGGAATATCCGGATGGGGTACACTGCGTTACCATAAACACATTAGACCTTGACCTTTCCCAGCAACAGGCTGTGTGTAAGGCCCTGAAGTCTTTATACTGAGACTATTGCCCTAAGGCCTTGTGCCTGTCCTACCACAACCCCAAAAGGATTATTTTGCATCCAAATCCAGACGTGAAGGCAATAAATCGAGTTAAAAATACTTTCTGAATGAAATCACCTTGTAAAGCTCTGTCAGGAACCTTTGATATGGTCGATAAAAGATTCTGAAAGTTCAATAATATATCTTGTCCCGATAATCTCTTATAAAAAGCAGGAATAAAATCAACCAGTTGGAGTGGGGCATGCAAGGATCAGATGTACGATTATTGATAATTAATTAGTGACAATTAATACTTGAATTGTGTTGACAAATTAATTCAGCTCCAGATTTCTGAAATACTAGACGTATTAATGTTAAGAAAGCCAGACAATCCTTCACATTTTCTCATTAATTGGAGTCAGAAATTAATACTTTATATTTAAATTTACTGTGATGTATTTCAAAAATTACGACACAGCAAATTGATTGCCAAACACTTAATTTACAACAAAATACTTTTACTACCATGATAACTAGGTCAATGTCGTCTACTAGATGCCAGTCCGACAGCCACATATGGAATCAGATACAATTTACTGACACGAGTGACTTACATTTAGAATTTATTGTGATTCTGTCCTGCAAAAAGTAAAAACCCACGACATATAAATGTATGTTCCCGATGAATATGATTGAGAGCCACAACATCCTAATTGTACTCAGATCGACTGCATACTGTCCGGTAACAGTTTCAATATTAATAGTCATCGGAAATGTCCGCGACTCTGCTCTGGCTGTTTTTGAAATATTTTAACCTTTTCTATTACATTTTTTGTGTTCCTTTACAGTTTAGGAATGGGTTTGTTTATTTCCAAAGTTTACAAGTCGCAACACAAGATATGATTTGAACGGATTTCCACACGTTTGATCCTTAGCAATACCAATAGTCGTAAAATGAAACATCACTGCTATTCATTAGATATTATCACTTCATGTTTACAGCCGATTTTGCTATGTAATGCTTATTTATTTATTTAAAACAGGTCAAAACATTGCTCAATCACACATAGGCATTAATGATATCTTTATATTGTTGTAAATATTTAATTATCTTTTACTCATTGTACATATACCATGCATACATTTACATAATAATGTCTATATAGTAACGTAACAGGTGTCATTACTTCTGACAATGCTTCCGCTAAGATTCGAACCCAGAACCTCTGGCTTACCAGTCAGACGTCCAACTGATAGAGCTAAAGATAAGTTCTCTCTTACCGAGCGGTATATTGTGGCTAGTATTTACTAGGTTATACTAATAAAATAAAACACGAAATCCTGTGGTCACTTTGTGTAACGTACATCATCTTTCCTTTGTTTCGAAGGTTTTTTGGGAGGGACATGACCCCACCCAGGGGATGCGCCAGGGTAGGAGCCTTGGGACACAATACCGTTCCGGGGTTTACTATTACGACAACGAACAGAAGCAAGAGGCCATAGCAACCAAAGAGGCTTATGGGAATAAACTGGAGAAAAATGGCTATGGTAAAATAACTACAGAAATTCGTCCCGTTTCCAACTTTTACTATGCTGAGGACTACCACCAACAGTATTTACATAAAAACCCCAACGGATTCTGTGGGGTAGGCGGGACAGGTGTGTCGTGTCCAAGAGGCATTGGGGGCTACCAAATGAAGACAGAATTATAATTATTTGTCACAAAGTATTCATGAATTTTGCATTTGATTATTTAAATAAAAATACATTCGTTGTATATTTTCTATTAAAGATTCGTTTGTGTCATTTAGTAGAGTGATAACTTGTGCCACAGAATAAAAGGGTCAATGTTGGTCACTCAGATACATACTCAATAAACAATGGGCTCGTACAGTCAGTTTAATCGGAGATAACTGCATGACCTACTAGTGATTACTAAAATAGTCAATTATAGATTAAAATCGACTGCACAAAAAAATCTTTTTTAGTGTTCGGGAACTGAAAACAATGGATATTGGTTTATATCTATACATGTATATGACAAATGTTTTGCCTATCGTTCAGGACAGAGATACCTTCGTCACTTAAAAATGGTCCTCCATCTACTAACTTCAACTTCTTTACCTCAAAAACAACAAAATAAAATACCAACATGTAAACAGGATCATATTCCAAATTTAAATTCAATAACACCAGGACAACTGTCGATTTCTAAATTTAGATTATATTAAAAATACTGGTATCTAGTCATTCGTAAGATATTTCATAATGTCAGGGCCTAGCACATATGGCATTATTCTATACAACTAAATGTCGGTTAAAGTACTTCGCGTGACTTTATATTTTGGTCTATTACAATGTACCAACAGCTTTAACCGAATACGGGTGTTTTATTATTGGTCGAAAACTTCAAAAAAATGTTTAAAAACATGACAGGTTTTCCTTTTCAAAATTTACAACCTATATAAAGCCCTCTCTAAACACACATTATATATACAAAGTGGCAGTATGATATAATAACAATGAAACAATTATAAACAAGTTTAGAGAGAGAGGGGGATGGGTGAGAAGAGGTTTATAACACGTACCCTTTATGTTTAGAATACTTTGTAAATATAGGTCATTGATCTGCTCTTTCTCCGTGCAAGCGAAACAGGTGATACACTGTCCACATGGCTAAACTCTCAACTTGTCAATGTTCATCACTTCCCGTGCTTTGTATACTTCCTCTTTGTCACTCGTTGCTTTCTGGAATATCCGTTTCCACTTGTTCGCTTACACAGAAAAGGAACATGTGCGTGGTACATACATACAACTGTGGTACACATATACAAATGCAAGCTTGTTGTTCATCGCTGTGTCTGATATTAAGAAAATGTTTATAACTTCATGCAACAAATCCTTAATTCTACTTAATCAATAATGCCATCAACTGCAAAATTGTTTGGTTCTTTGTTTACAAGTTACAACATGCATGTCATGCGTCACAAAGCGTAATACCTGTAATGTTATGCATGTCATCTTCTCTAATGCCAAAAAGATATTCGTGACATAATGGGGTTGCACATTCCAATCAATCCAATGGTAGTGAACAGTGAATAGTAATGATGACAGGATTTAGTTCAAACATGGACTGAAACATCCTTGGGCAAGGGGACATATTGTACATTATAAACGGTGTGTGCACAATGGGACAAGTATAGGGAAAGCTTGAAATTTTTGCCCAATCACGATAACCCAGTTCGGCTTCTGGTCTCAGCTTATCGTAAATCGAACCACATACCTAGGATCTTCATCTTCAACCTTTCCGTTTGCTCGAACTATTTGTTAAAACTTTTCTGATAAATTGAGAGCATAGCCACTTTCAGAAGAAAACAAGGCATCGATACTGTTGTAGTGAAGTAGTTTGACTTCCTGTGATATTGGTGATAAACAGATGTCTGTGTTGCAGAATTTACCATATGAACTACTAGTGGAATAGTAGTTGTTTCTATGATAGCGGTTATCATAGCACGTGCTATAATGTAACAAAACAGCTAAAGACACGTTCCTGTTGAGTGTCCCTAAAAGAATCAAATCCGGTTCTTCGGCATGATGATTCACGATTCTACGAACTGAGCCAAAGAGGCGTGCTCTGTCAGCTGAGTGACAGAGATATGCCTTCTCGACCCTCTCGTTTTACACCAGCCCTGCTTTTCTTGATCTCTTTCATCTGAGAATCTAAACATCATATCCCGTGACATTTCGTTTGGTACCAATACTATAACATTTCTAAGAGGTCAAACATATTTCTGTCGAACCCCAGATCTCCGACTCAAAGTACCACAATGCCATATTTTAACATTATGTACAAGCCTCATCGAACATGCTACTGCAGCGACGGCATCGGACCGATGAAGGTTGCATCAACAGAACCTGGGGGCCCTCGAGTCTGTGCGCTAGTCCGTTCCATAGAGATGTCCCGACTCTGGCAACGTACCAGATGGAGGATTACCGAATGAACAGGACCATATCGGACACTTCCTCACATCTGCTTACACTATACGGACGTAAAACACGTGAACCAAGCAGCTAACCAACCTCACTGACCCGCTTCCTCTACAGATATATGCAGTGGTTGGGTACAGATATTAATTGACAAGAAACTTTGGCAACGTGATTTTACCCGGATATTTTTATCATTGTAAATTCCCTTCGGTGTGCATTTAGGTAGTCTGTCCACACAATCCAAATACAAAGTACACCGACGTTTCCATTTTAGAATCAGTTTTTTTCTAAAGAAAATATTTCTGCATTGTTGATGCTTGTCAGACTCCGAGGGATTTTGGCACTCGTGGTGTAGTACAGTTTCCAATATCCTCGCGGATATTCCAGGGATTATGATCACTTTCGCACTCTGTACCACAGAAATATTTCCTTGAAACATTAAAGGTATATGCGAAGTAATATGATTGGTCTAGAGAAGGTTTTAGGAGGGGGAAAACTGACCAATTACAAAGTGATGCTCGTTTTGAGGATTACAAAAGAGCGACTTATATATATTATTGGTGAACGTAACCATTCATTGGCGTATTGAAGAGGAGTTTCTATGTACATTTCAAGTATGCCATAGGAGAACAACTAGTAGCATCCAAGCTGTATGTAATCCTCTTTTAAAAATGAAGAATTGATGATAATTTATGCTATCATGGCGTGGTGAAAAACCGGCATTAATTAAACAACTACATAATTCATACTGATGCAACTTCTGTTCTTCTCATATGGAAAATCAGTTCTGATAATAAAATTAACATCTCACAGTCAAAAAAATCTAATGATTATTTTCTTCAAAGTAAGAATAATACATGGAAATGCTTTCAAAATTTCTTAAAATTTGAAGTTTCATAGTAATAAAATTCAAATTATCAATGATAATAGCTATTTTTGATGACCTGCGAGAAGGAAGCCAGCTGTATAGTTACAGAATGTCACACCTTTAAACACGAGCTACTATACTTGTATAACTTATCGGTTATTATACCACTTTTTTCTTTTTTCCAAATTAATATTTTCTGGGGAAAAGTCAGCTCGTCGTGTGCGAATCACTTCTACAAGGAGACTCCTTGAATAAAAGACATTTTCATAGAGTTAACCCCAGTGTGGCTCTGAACTTTAATTTTAATGTTTATATTGTTCTTAAAAACTATCGAAAAGACGACAATGCACACAGAAGTCAAATGTAGGCCATTATCTCGTTCACACGGATAAGGATACGAGATCATATATCCGGACGTGTCTCGAAACTTACTATCACACTGCATCTTCCGGCATTGTTTCGTTATGTAAGTTATTAAGACGTTTATATAAATTACTAGCTTGACATTTTTTGCCCAAGATCGTCAATGACACAAGTGTAAGTAACAACTTGTATTTCAGTCAACAACATGCTTGTTGTCACCCGTCATATTGACTACCTATGGTTCTCACCACCTGGTCATGCATGACAAGTAACGTAAATACAGTGAGTTCATAAAGGTACACAAAATGGAAGATTGTGTACAGTGATCGCCTGGTATGCCTGGTAAAAACTCGTTCGGACTAGATCTGGTAAGAATCCGAAGTTTTATTGAGACAAAGAGAAAGAAAATATGATAATTTTCCTATGCTATCTCGTAAGCCATAGGGAAAAACCAAAGAACTCTACGTTAAATCACGGATTTAGCATTTTTAAGTCTATATCCAACTGACATTAGATATCTATCTGTAGACCTGTAATGTGGTAGAGATCTGCGTGTCACCATACCAGGGAACAGTATAAGATCTCGTTTTTTGTTAGGACTGTCACTGACTTGAACCAGCTTCCAAGCTGATCTGTAAGATGCGAAATTGCCAAACATTTAAAGCATCCCTCGAATCACAGCGTGACTAAACACCATTAGGGGCACTCTCCCTGCTTCCACTATACCACTTTTGGGATCTGGCAGCATAATGATACAGATAAATACATGTAGTATCTAACATTACATTAAGACAGGATCAGCTACTGACACAATCTTAATGTCCAATGATCTCCTTGCATGGACACAAGTGGATAATTATAGATATTTAATGTTTAAGTGATTGACTTAATACTGATCTTTGCTTTATTCACCTGCATCTCACTGAATGTAACCACAGGAGTACATGTTACGATGAGGATACTATAATGTAGGTCTGAGGAAAAACAGACAGAGTCTATGCACTTCTACATGTATATTAAGACAAAGTCAAAAGGGTTCTGACTCTTTATCCATGAATTCATTTGTCTTGGTCGTGGAATTTGGACTTTCGGTCCACAACCAAGACATTGAAAACAAAGGTAGATAGTCAACACCCTTGAGACTAAATGTTATTGATCAGTTCTTGAAAATGATTAAAGATATCAGTACATACAAGGTTTCCAAATCTATGTAATGCTTGCAATAGGTAATAGGGTTTGAACTATCGACCCTTCAGTCTCTTGCCGAACAATCTACTGGTACTACTGTCTACTAACAGGAAATTCTCCACTACCCAAGATTATTGAGGCAACCTGTACTTTCCACGTGATCATGAGTTCAAGTAAAGTGAAAGTTTAGTATAGTACACTGTACTATATATATTTAAAATGTAATTTTGAATTGCAGATGTTTTTCAATGACTTTAGCCTAAATTACATGATCAGGGAATGTTTCAGCTTGGGAATGAATGTTGCCTCTTTGAGTGAAAAATCTTTCTGTAGGCTTTAAAACAGAGGCTTTATAATTAAATCTTGTAGTTCAATTTTCTTAATTTTTTCCTTAGGCCATTTGGACGATACAATGTTCAGTTCTTTCAAGAATGTTGGGGATTGACACAGCTCATGTCTCAAGTAATTTTTCATGGCAGATTGTGACTGAAAAACAAACAAAAATCTTTTATAGTAGGGATTAAAATGAGTTATTCCAAGCTCTTACTAGCTTCAAAGATCTGTTATTTGTAAGTCATAACTTCAATGTTTTGGTGAATTTCAGGTTGTCGATTCCTTTTTCTGCCAGTCGGTTGCTGTTACTTGCTAATTTTCTGCGACAGCCTGTAGCTAGTATTTTTTTGATGGGGGAAATGTCAAGCAAAATGACCATGCCAGAGCCAGATGAGGCTATGAAAGGTAAGTGTCAACATTAACATCTATGATTACAATAACAAGGTTTTTCTACTAAACAGATCAATGTACAAAGCCACTAATGAGTTGTGACTTCATTACACAACTAAGTTAATGAAAGTTTAGAGTAAAAGGAATGGGTTTTTTTAATTTCCATCAAGACCTCCACATTGCATTTATTTTTGGTGAGATTTATAATAGCCATTTACATCCAAAGATAGATTCAGATATTGAGAATAAGATCTTGTAAAAATGAATACATATACATATTTTCCTTTGTTTCTCATATCCTGCAATGTGAAGACAAATACATTTTTGGAAAGAATGATCTAAATGAATTAAACTAGTACTTTGTATGTATTACAGGTCGAAGTACAAAAATGGCTGTCTCCCCTGCTCATGCTGTAAACAAAAATCCCACAGTACCTCCGTTTCCTGAAGAAATGCAGTTTGCCATGTTTGGTATGATTTATTTTCAAGATCAATTTTGTTTTACACCTAACATATCATTATGATATTATCTTTAAATGATAATTGTGATGACATCAACTAAGATGACATTTAAAGCATCTAAAATTTGATCTTTTTCTATAAGAAGAAAATTTATATAATGTTCAAGTTTAAAAGTGAGTACTGTTGATCTGGTGAGATTGTGTTCCCAAGCTGTCTAATGATACTGATATAACATTGATGAATCATACAGTGTTAAAAAAATGAAAAAGTCTTCAGTATTTTAGGATTTCTGTTGCATCTTTTCAGGAATGGGCTGTTTTTGGGGTGCAGAGAGAAAATTCTGGAAGCATCCTGGTGTTTTTTCAACACAGGTTAGAATACACAGCCTTGTTATATCAATATATTTGAATATGCATATCTAAAAATGTAATAGACCCTTTTGCTATAAATTGACGTTGCTGATGACCTGTTTTTTGACCTATATAATTTATTTTTGCATCCATGCCTTGTTGTGTCTTACATCTCATTGATCTTTCTTAAAAATTGTCATTTTCGCAATCTCTTGGAACTGGAATTTTTTCTATCATGACCTGTCCTTGTAACTTTGCCTATGAAGTATTTTTTTTCTGTAACATGATCCTGATCAACATTTGACCTTGGCACTTATTTACAGTATTACATAAATCTTGACCTTTGTGAAGATTTCAATCTGACCCTTGCCCAAATTTACATTTTCAATTAAAATCCTTGACCTTTACATTTTTGTGTGACCTGCTCTCTGATTTACATGTCAGTTTAATCTTACCTTGATTTTTCTTTAACTGCTCTATATAACCTTGGTGCTGATAAACATTCTCACTATAGTCATGACCTTTGTTTACACTCTTCATGTGACCTTGAACATAGATTACATTTTCTATGTCTTTTTGGTGCTGCTATGGGTTAAGACTCTTCTTTTAGATTTTTTATTCAAAGCTTGCTAAACCTTCAACGTTTTTACAGGTTGGTTATGCAGCTGGTTACACCCCGAATCCAACCTACGAGGAAGTCTGCTCAGGAGCCACAGGACATAATGAGGTTGTCCGAGTTGTGTTTGATCCCAAGAAAACAGATTATTCAGAAATTTTGAAGGTGAGACATTCAAGTAAAGTTAATGTTCTGCATAAGCTTATAAAAAAATTTTATTAAGCACTGTGCATCAATCTGTCAAACAGATACATTTTGTCTTTGAAAGGAAAACCCCTATGATAGGTTTAAGTAAGATTGATATAAAATTTGCCCTTAGTTTCTTCTTTTTTAATATAAAAACTTTCGTCAATCTGCAATGCCAACAGAGGTCTAAAATATGTAAATTGCTTCACTTGAATACTGTGATGAAACTTGTTGAAGTAGAGTGATCATTATTTCATATATAATTTTTTCTTGGGTAATTTAAGTGTTGCAGTTTTGCACCACACACTTATTAGGTTGCAAAAGTCAGAAGATTGTAAAACTAGGACAACAAAGATTTTTTCTGCATATTTCATAATCTCTCTAAACAATACTGAATATATGGAAATGGAACCTAATCAGACACACGTTACACTTTATAGACTGATAGAATTAACTCAAAGGAAATTCCTTCATAGATTGACATGAAGTAGCATTGCTTTTTTTGTCTTTCATGAGACTAGTTGTCCTGTTATCAAATCTTTTTGTAGGTGTTTTGGGAGAGTCACAATCCTACTCAGGGAATGCAGCAGGGAAATGATCGAGGAACACAATATCGATCTGGGATATACTACTACGATAGCGAACAACGAGATCAGGCTTTGGCCACTAAAGAAGCATATGAAGAGAAAATCATGAAAAATGGTTATGGGAAAATAACAACAGAAATACTATCAGCACCAGAATTTTACTATGCTGAGGACTACCATCAACAATATTTACATAAAAACCCAGGAGGTTATTGTGGACTTGGAGGAACTGGAGTTTCATGTCCAAGAGGAATCGTTAACTCTAGAGCAAAATCAGAATTATGATGAGTCTGTGACTTAACAGTTCTTTTTATTAATCAGCATACAGTTTACTTGTTAGCTCACCTGATCGGAAGCGCCAAGTGAGCTTACGCCGTTTTGGGTGTCTATCATTCGACATCTAATGTCCTAGTTTTGTTTGCAGGATATTTAGTTTTTGTTCTCAAATTCGGTAATGAAGTAAGGAGCGCTGTTGATTTTTATTATGTTGTCATGTTATATTCTTTTCTTCTTGATGAAAGTGTGTCAATGATATAGCAATAGTATAGCATATGTAATTAATTCATCTTTCATGCACAAAGGAAAATATTCCTGGTTAAAAGTGAAACTATTTATTGTAAAAGGTACAAATACAATTATAAAATAGACTAAAATGTTATAGAAGTTCAAAAATATTAAAGAATCTTTCAAAGCTAATAATAATACAAAAAATAACGTTGATATCAAATAAAACAAAACTAGGTTTATGCAAAAAGTGTTATATATCAAAAAAGTATTGTAAATCAAATTATTTTGATCTGTTTACATAAAAAAATGTTTGTTCAAATTTACACTCCACCATGATATGTTTTTCTGTGATAGGACACCAGTACTTGATCATATATACAGTAAACCTTGACCTTGCAACTACTAGACTGGTCAATACTGTGACATTAAAAATGATTTTAAGGCCACAAAATACTTTCATATACCTCGAATTGTATTTATATAAATGAAATCGTATTGAATGATTATTTCAGAATTATATGTTTTTAAACTGTATAATAAATCATACCTATGTCAAGCCTTTGTTCGATTTTCCATATTCTTCGAACGGTAGTTTCGTTTTGGTTCTGTGATTGTGTTCTTTTGTTGAGTGATTGCTTTCAAATGAAAGACAGATTTTGATGTCTTTAAAATGTGCTAAAAGACATACAACCTCGATAGGGAACACACAAATACATTGTTAATGTTTAACATGATGTGTTTATGAAACAGTACCTCTGTTGCCAAAAAAATACTGAAGTGGGACATTAAATTTGTACTGTATGAGGCATGTGCTAATTGCATGCACATTTGGTGAAACATGTCTTCATTGTGGCAACGATTTTCTACTTTTAATTGTAGGTCAAAAGTCACGGTCAAGGTCACATACATGGTCAAACATTTTGATACCACCAAAAAGGTCTTGTCAAAGGGAACATTTCATGCCAGATATGAAAGCCATACATTTTACAGTGCAATTGTTATGAGCAAGGTTAAAGTTGACAACAAACTGCAAATTCCGAGGGCATTAAAAGTGGAAATGAAATGGAATTGCTTATCAACATTATTTGAACAAATGTACTCGTGATATATTTGCGCTGTATAACGTTTAAAAGGTTAAGCTGCTTATGATATTGTCAGGTACATGCTGTTGCCACTATTTCTATACAAGTGCTAGATGGATCATTTTCATATTTCATGCTGTAGGTTCAATTTGGCCATAGTTGAGAATTGTCGGTTATTGGGCCAAAATGATAAGAAAATCATTAAGGCTATCTTTGACTTAGTCAGATATAAATTATTAGTGCTAACGCAATTTCTTGAGAAGTTGTGTTGAACCAGTCTTGAAATTCATATATAGGTACATTGCTCTTGCATTTTCCGTTTTCAGACAGAATGAAAAAAAATGGCGGTCATCTTGAATTTTGATAGTAGTGGTTAGTTTTTGCTATACACAGGAAGAACAAGATGTATCTTTCGCACATGTATATATTTATCTTCCGACGCTTAGGATGAAGCATTCTCAAGTTTAGGATGGTACATTGAAACCCCTATTGAATTAATGCTTAAAATTGAAATATTATTTCAATAGTGAAAACCGTTATTGCAATAATAGTGAACATTATTTCAATAGGGTCATCAACAATGTTGGTTCGTATGGTGCAATATCGATTTTAGGACTACCAGAATAACAAAAAGGACGCCATTCGGTCATCTTTGGTTCAATCGTTGTAGTTTGTAGATTGAGAAGTACTGTTTTGATGATTGATATAACTATAGAACAAATTCACCCGTCGATTCAGTCAATGACTCGTAAATAAATAATACCACTAAGGAAGCAATTTTTCTTTCAAGAATGTACAAGATGGTGGAGAGTGTTGATCGCACCAGTGGATGTAGATAAAGTTTATCACATATTTGGTATTTGTAGAAAAAAGCTTTAAGTATATAAGAGCACCTGTTATATCCTATGACCCAGGGAAACTGCCACCAACGAGGAGATAGGTGCAGGGAATGGAGAGAAGTGATTAAATCAAATTTACTGACCCACTAAACAAGTTTGCAACTGGAATTGTAGAAAGAAAAGAAATGATATTCAAACATTTAATCTTTTCATCTAAAATCATTCACCGGATATAATGATGTGCACTACAGGGGTTAACTAAAGGTAAAATTACTTGAAATATAAAAACTGCGTTGTTAACAGTTAACAAACGGAAGAATGACTTACATAATGGCTAATATTGTATAAAAGAAATGAACTTAAATAAACCCCACTACTTTCTAACTTTCCGCATCTTTATTATTCGTAAAGAAACTTTATGGTATGTAGCATATTGATCAGTTCAGCTGTTGAAAACGAAACTTTCAAAATAATTTCCAGAAGCATGATTGCTCAAAATGATTTTTACATAAAATGAATTAACCTGTAATTGAAAGTAATTGAAAGAACGTCGATGATGCCTTTTCATACGCAGTATACTCGTTTGTTATCTACAATGGGAATCACTTTTCAGACATTTAAACGTTTATGTGGAAGGTGAAGATCTAGAAGCTGGATCTAGATAATGCCATGTTCATATGAAAAGAAAGTCTAAAAATGATATCGATGTTTTTTTGTTCTTGAAGAGTCTGATCATCTTTTTCCGCTCTCAGAAATTGTCCGAATACTCAATTCCGAATATCATAATGCAATATTTACATAATATGACGGGACCAGAGATATTCCGGGCCGTCTCAGGTTATGTCTCTACTATCATCCCAAAGTTCTTATGCTTACTCTAAACTCGGCAGTAATTTCGAGAGCCAAAATGACGTGACACAAACTGCGTGGTGAGATCATTCAACGGACTCATTAGTCACGAGGTTATATTCTGCAGCATGCATTACTAGTCACGTGGTACGCTCATTCGTGTAATGGTATTGATCACGTGGTGAGCTGCATCAGCTCCTCCTCTTTAAGTGCGATAATGAGCATGATTCCCGAGCCAACACCCATTCCCAACATAGTGAAGACCAGATGGCGTAGTTGGTTCTTATCAGAGCTGTTACTTATTTCTGGAAGCTAAGGCAATAAAACAAAACAAAAATTAGGTATTACTTCTTCACGATTAGGTTTTGATATCATGTGGCATTTTTTTCTTTATAAAACAGGTTCAATCAAAATAACTTTGCATTAAAAATGTTGTCCTTGATAATCAAAGTTGCACGTTACAGTATCATGAATTGATTTATTTCATACACAGGTTCATGTACGGCAGTTTACTTAATTACCGAGGATGTCTTTAATTTTGCTTGTTGTATGACATTGAATAAAATAGTTACCATATCAACCAGCGATATATATATAAACATCGCAGCAACACAGACCAGAATGTAGAATTTGACGCTTGTAATATTGCCCATTGCCACTCCCGCCAAAACGCCAATCATTGACAGAACAGACGACAGACAATTGAAACATAGCGCCTGTTTAATCGACATTCCTTTCTTCAGGAGAACGGCGAAGTCACCTATAAAAGAAACATCAAGCCTGAACAAAGGTATCCGTTTGTTTTGAATGATTGTAGGACTGTATTAGACAAGAATACGAAAATGTAGTCAATATGATGATAGATAAAGACAAATTAATTAAGCCTCTGTTCCCGATTTAAGATTACATTAAAAACAAACAAACAAACAACAACAAAAAAGGCGTGTGTCTGAAGCTGCTTTTTAAGCTTTTAAGCCAGCCCTTTCTTCAAACAATGAGTAATATGTATTTATGTTGTGGGCGTTTTTACAGATAGATGGAAGTATATGTCATAATTGATTTCTTCAGTATTTGTTTCCTCCTGTTTTATACTTCCATGACTCGTCAGTGACGCTAAGGAAGTTAATTGTTGAAACCTAGGAGACGATTACTATATGGTGATTGTCAAGAAGACGTGATATTTTCATAACATTCATGTTACCTATCTCGTGAGGCAGTTCATGACACAACACTGCTATGGAAGTACTCAGACCACTGGTTACACTGACAGCGAACGCCACACCGATAGCCAGACCATCACTTAAGTTGTGGATCCCGTCCCCTACAATCACTCGCCAAACCATTGCTCCAGTGGACGAAGACAGTCCGTCGCGACTACGACAATGACAATGGTTCTCGTCAGCTTCTTCTGGTTTGGCACTGGTAATTTTGTCCACCATCATATTGTCCTCCTCGCCTAGAGGATTGATTGTAAAAACACATAAAGCCCTATTGTGGACAAAAATTTACTGTACATGACTGTGTTAATAAACCTGACATTTTTGAAATTCCAACGTGCAAGATTTCTAAAATTCGGAATTGCAAGAAACTGTCATTCCAAAAACGTAACACATTTAAAAGTGTTTACCAAGGAGCAAACGAAGAGCAGCGGCATAGGCGAATAAAAGTGCGATAGAAGATTGTACATATATATATATTAATATAAAAGTTCCCATATATTGATGTTTGAAGATTATGAATTGCTCCACTATGCAGTGAGTGTTTCATTGCTCACCTTGTGATTTCATCGCCATGGTTGCTGTAACGGAGTCCAATTCTGATCTTTGTCTTTTATTCTGTTGGCAGGTTTAATAAGCTGAATTAATGCTTAAAGGTTATTCATACATATTTTTCGATAGTTATTTTTAGAATTATCCCTTTTTCTTATTATAACTAAATAAAGTATATGTTAACTTCATTTCCTGATACAGTAATTAATTTGGTTGTTTTTATAAAATTTCTCTCGAGGTTTAAAACAACCAAAATATGTAAATAATACAACCCCATAAACTACACTTGTTTGACAACTTTCCTTAAATAGTAACAAGGATCTACATTTTGAAATCCTGAAACACAAATCCATACAAGTTATTGTCATAGTTGCTTTAAAGCATGAAAGAATTTGCTTGAGAATTAAAGTGACTAGAAATATAACATTGCTAAGGGAGGGGATGAGAGGAGACGGACATATGTGTAAATGTATGCCATGACATGGCAGAGACGTAAAATTCGATGTTATCTGCAAATAAAATGCTATTGTTTAAACAAAAATATTAGAAAAAAATATATTCACGCAATGATATATTAAGTATGCTCACCTTCATTCTCTTTACATGTGCAAAGTTCTGAATCCTCCCAACCAGAAAGAAGAAATAGATAACTGCAAGTCCCGCTAAACCTTTGTACACATCTGTCATGTCGTGTCCATCACCATGGTCATGGCCCTTTGTCGACGAAAACGCCTAAATCGCCAAATGTAAGAAAGAATTAAAAAAGAAAAAAAAAGAACATGAATAATTGACAAAGAAGGCACGTACAAGGAGATCAGGAAATAGTAGTAGGGTGTTGCTTTCAGTTGATAGCCATGGTTTGTGTTGAGATATCATGGTGAAATACCGTATTATATCATGTTTTAGATCAGATGAAATATGTTACTATAATAAGCTCCTTTACGTACATATAGAACATGATGTTATAAACCAAAACACGAGAGTTTCGGCCAATAGAATGTACGTGTGCATACATCGGATTATGTTCTTTTTGATGGAAAATATCTCTTCCACCACCCACGTACGAAATTTGTAATTTTTGTGATGTATTTTGTATCAGCATGCTACATATTTTTTCTGTTCTTAAAACAAATTGGATGTAACTTATTCATTAATAATTTTCGTTTTGACCATTTTAAATTTTGATTAAAACTGCTAGTTTTGATCAGGACTGTTTACAAGTATACTTGTTTTTTCATGAGAGAGAGAGAGACCAAACTATCTCGAGTGTATTATGAAACAGCCACGGGTAACCTACAAAACGGTTACAGATGACCTGCTCGGTTATAATACAAAAAGAGCAAGGGATGTTATCACAACCATACATACTATATATATACGAGTGGTTGTGACCTAAATATACTTGTATGTAAATTCGGCTTTATGATAAGGTTTTAACATAAAAATATAGAAGTACACTGCTTTTACAAGTGATACTGCCCATTGTTCCTACAGATAACATGAAAGAGGTTTTTTTTTAAATATTTTAGCGTAACCTTAGATTTTAAGTTTATCAAGTCAGAGTGTGAAAAAATCAATCATTTTTAAAACTTTGAAAATCGGAATGATAATGAACAGATGACATTTCACAAAATAAAATCTTACTCATATGTCATTTTGGTTCTTTCAGATATATTGACTCATGAAAAGGATTGTATTGATGTGATTTTTTTTTTTTTTTTTAAATTGTCCTCTTATCGTTAACTTACATGGGGTAAGAGGTGGAGCATTGCGTCTCCAGTCAGTGCTCCGACAGCCAGCGCCACCAAAAAGTGGAGCAAGTTCTCGAAAAGAAAATGTTGTAAGACAGACAAGAGGCTCACGCAGATCAGACCTGACAAACTGATTACCACAATAGCTCCACAGGCAAAGAACCATGCTGTAATTAATGTCACACACTCAGTAAATAAACATGATTTGATACAATTTTCATTGATACTGCTTGTGACTTAATGCGATATATATGATGGACATTACTAGATACTGTTGATATATATTTTGTTTCAAATGCTTAACAGGTTGTAGTTGCTTAATGATAAATTAGTATTGTTATGAATTTCTGCTTTAACTGTTCAGAAATATACTTGCTTTTAGAATTTGCATTGCTTTTTGGTCCTTCATGTACGTGTGCATGCACATGGCTATGATGACGGAGGTGGTTACAATTGTGTCCCTCAAGTTGAACAATCAGTAGCGGAAACAACTCTATAAACTGGTCCTTCGTCAGGGATTGATTAGTAAAATTCATCAGTTGCAGAATCTCCAACGGGGTCAAACACTGTGTGATACATGTATGAACGGGTTAATGTACCTGCTATATGTATAATTTCCATAAGCAAGTCATTTTTCTTAAACGAGTATTATTGAAAAATCATACCAATCTTTAAAAAGAATTTGGAAAGTTTTTTTTTAAAACATCAATCATATAAGCATACCTTAGTGCGAAAGTCAAGTGACTCGGTGTTAGCTACAACTACGTTCATATTTCTGTTTGTGTGATAAGCATCTTTATGATCGCCATGGTCACCATGGTTAGGATGACCATCATGGTCGCTATGCTCCTTATGGTCGACATGAATGTCGTTATGGTTTTCTGTCTTTAAGGAATGACCAGTTTTGATTTCATGTTTGACATTTTGGTTCGAGTGATGTTTGATGTCCATCCCTTCCTCGTTGCTATGATGACCACCATTTATGCTGTAGACTGATCCAACTGCCGGCTGGTGATTGTGATTTTCGTGAAAATCATGAAATTGTTTCGATGGGTTTTTGATATGAGTCTCCACATGATGACCTGTATGAATCATACCAAGATTCAAACTTTCCAATAAATGTTCGTAACCTTCGAATGATAACACATTTGCATCAGTGGAGTATTTTAGAATGATGTAATCCACGAATGAATTAACAGTAATATTGTTGAGTTTTTCGGACGATTGTCCCTGTACTTTCGGATCTTGCACCTGTTCAGAGGTCGCAAAATATCTTCCAATAAGAATAAACACCATAGCAATATTTAAACTCTGGTGAAACTCCATTCTTGTCAATACTATCAAACTGAAAGAAAAGAAAAGTATACTAAGCCCAATTCTATTGAATCTGGATGTGGATATACTGAAATTGATCCATCATGCTTTCATTATATCTTATAATATGCATATAATACTGTATTTACATTCATTGATGTAATGATAATGCTTTTTCTTTAACTTTTGAAGTTATTTAAGAGTATTTCCCGTTCCGAACGAGATAGCTTTTTCTCATAGATTCTGCAATTTGTGTGATCAGACTAATAGTCACATGCAATATTCATGTAACGCATAATTGTTACCAATCAAAAAACAATAGAGGACCTTATTAAAACAAGACATAAAACCTTTGCCAAGTCTTTCAATGTCTTATCTTTAAATAGAGAGAAATTTATTTACCATGTCCATTGTTTTACTTACAAGAATTAAAGACAAAACGTTTGTTTTGTCTTTTGTACATGGTGGGTGTAGTCGATAGAGCAGAAGAGCAGAAGACGTTTGCCCTTCCGAAATACATGGATGTATTCCCCCTTATACATTTTTAGGGGTTGCCGCGTAAGTCTTTGTCGTGTTTACGTTTTACTAATTTTTGAGCTCCGATTACGATTTCACTAACTTGTCGTTACGCTCTTGTTGTTTTCGATATCACAGGGAACTACAGAGGACATATTATATTCACAAGAAGGGGTCAACGTAATAAACCTAATTTAATTGTATGTACGCAGTATAAGCCTTTTTGCAATTTTCTGCATAAATCAATCGGCAAGTTCATATCAAGATCGCCCGGGAGGGGGGATCTACCATACTTACGGGCAGTATGAAACATGTATTTTGTGGAACTATATCATGACCAATCAAGCTTTTGATATATGTTAAGCCATATTTTTGCTTTTGTTTAAGGTGTTTTGATAAAGAGTTTATCTATTATGTAGAACCTTAGGGACAATACAATTCGAGCGTGAAGATAAACACATTTAGAATCGTAGGGTATGAACATAGATATAACGTATATAAATACAGATGTACATCTTTAATCCTGAAAGTTTTATATTTCTAAATGCAAAATTTAAATGATACACAAATGCTGTAATGTTCGACATCCAATCGTTAATCATAATGGTGAATCCAGGATCTAAGGTCACCTTATGTATACCAAGACATTTTCATCCCATGCTATTTTCAATCTTGTACTATTAAACACGAATTCATATGTAAAAAGGTTATACAGGTGAAAAAATGTACTTCCATATCTTTAATTCATCTTCCTGTTCTTGATCGAAATGGGTGAAAGTTAAACGTGGGCGAAAATGTCCCGACGTATGGTATATCCATACTGATATATAAGTATGATGTCTAAAGGAGTTCTTACCTTGCACAGCCAAGAAACATGTATATATGTCAACAAAGATATGCTGAAAGGACACAATTTACCTAATATAGGTGTGCATTTGGTATGGCATGATTGTATCATCATAATGGATTCGTCCAGGATGAATACGTTTTGATGGTACTGGTAGGGGATTATCATTGGCTGGGCGGAAAGAGATTTATCTAGGTTTCCCCATGCCTGTTAAATAGAGATACGTTCTCTGGAATTAAACAAAATTATGTAGACAAGAAACTGTGAAAGATGTGTGATAAAGTTCTAATTTGTTTTTAGTAAGGTAATAATTCAAAATAAATATTTTTGGCCAAAGTCACAATTTATTGTTAAATGTAAAACGAGTTTTGTAAACAGCTTTGAAAACTCCACAAAAACTAGAAACTACCGGTAAATAAATACGTCCATACTTTTCCTTTGACTGGAATCATTCTAACTGAAAATTAAACAAAACAGATGTGACTGCGAAATATACAGTCAACCCCAACACAACACAACTCTGTCACATATATGGTACTAAAACGTAATCAAAGTAAACACAAACGATTTAACACAAATTAAAACATTAACTATATAGCTAAACATAAGACCACACCAAATATATATAACGTAACATAAGGCCACACCAAATGCATATAGCGGAACATAAAGCCATACCAAACACATATAGCGGAACATAAAGTCACACCAAACACATATAGCGGAACATAAAGCCATACCAAACACATATAGCGGAACATAAAGTCACACCAAACACATATAGCGGAACATAAAGTCACACCAAACACATATAGCGGAACATAAAGCCATACCAAACAAATGCAGCCAAATATAGGGCGAAACTAAGTTTACAATGTATATTGTGTTTGTTCACCGATATTGGTGACCGCATAATGAATATGTTAACAACTTAGGCTGGGGATGCAGTGCAGTTGCTTTCTATAAATAGAAAATTAATCATAGAGAAAATAAAATCATCGCACGTGTCATACAGATTGGTAGAAGGGTTTCCCTGTCGGTTTTGTTGTATGAAAATGTGGAGGTAAGTGGCTGAGGTAGAAGAGTCTATTGTGTACTTGATTTTGAATTCAGATGAGTATGTACAATCGAATAAGTCAATAATATCGTGTTTTCTACAGCCAAGACGTCATCAACATATCTGAAAGTAAAATTGAAGGACTTTGCTAAGTCTTTGCGACATAGTCATTAGTATGAGACGACGGACAAAAGACTTTTATCTGAAGCGTGGTGGCTTTACGTAATATGTTTATCATAAACGAAATCTCAAATATGGATGGGTCCTTACTTTTGGCCAAGTCAAGGCCGTATTTAGTCGTAAATTATGCAAAATGCGTATTCAATGAAAAATACGTACAAATCATAGAAGAATTATAGAGAGAACGAAACCATAAAAAGATATCGAAATTTTGGTTTATCATGTCTTCGTCGACAGTGGCGGTAAGTCTTTACAACACACTATTGGAATACCTATTAGAATAGACTGTGTCCCTCTGTCGGCTGACTTGATTTTGTTCTCATATGCGACTGAATTTATCGAAGACCTTTGGGAGCGTCTCTATCACTTCTTGTAGAAGATAGTCGTGTACTAGTCTGGCTCTGCGTGGTTTTGTCATCCATTAGGACAGCATCTGGTCACGGTATTTCTGTTCATTTAAAGTCCCATCAAAGCCATGCATCCGAAGCTTACAATTTAGAGGAAAACATCCTCAAAGAGCAACACCACCTTCCCCCAAATGCTGTTGTACCCAAAATGTTATTCTAATGATAGGCCGTATTTTTAGGTCTCAAAACATGGACACTGCCGTCTGACAGACCAAGTAAATAGCAGCATTTATCAGACTAGCTGACTCTTAGCTAAGACTTTATTTACGCCGGCTTATGCGAACTTTGACATTCCACTGTTCTATAAGCAGTGGTGAATGGGGCTTGCATGCCTGTTAACAACGATATCTATATTCTCTATCTGTAGCCCTTCGAGGTCTGCCACACCTGGGACCTTTATAAACATAAGCGGTTTAGTTCAGATGCGCGGCATCAACCGAGAAAAAACAGAATGACTGACATTAAAACATGCAGCTATTTGCCTGTATTTGTGTTTTGTTAGAGTAGAGGGTACCCAGGTTCCTTCCGAGTTATCGTTAAGCTTGTGTTACACTTGTTGATATAAGATACTAAACATAAAGACAAACATTGTATGGAGTACGACAACGTTTATTTTTACAAAAGGAAAAAATTTTCATTCTTAAATCGTCGATCCATAACCGTAAGGCCTATTGTATATATGACCCTAAGAAACGCAGAAGGTGATATTTGAAGATTATTTATACTGACAATGTGTGCTATGCATCACATTTAAACTTAAATGATCATCTAAACTAATGAAAAATGAGCCACAATGAGGGAGTGGGATGACTTGAAGAAGTTTGGCAAATAAAACCATTCTAATCCTGATTAATCGTCTGTAGAAGCAGTATCCTTCATTGATTTTTGACCTTTTCTTAACAAAGAGGCATTTTATCGTTAATATTTTTCCTCGGGTAATGTGCTAACTTCTTACTAAGGCAAGTGGTAGTGTTATAGGTTAAATGTGTCTTACAAAAAATTGACCACCCTTACAGATACGATACAGATCAAAGCGGTTTCAAAGCCTCAGTTTCATTTTGATGGTATCTCGAACTTTATACATGTTATTTTCGACTGCTTTTTTCCTGGTCTATGGAATATATAAATGACCCTAAAACAATTCATTTAAAAAAAGAAGTATTAAATAAATCTACGGATCTAGTATGGCACAACATGGATTCAACGCAACATGACTTTGAACTAATATGTAAATATTTGTTGTAAAAAACATTTCAAATTTGAGGCAGTAAGTTTTGAGATAAGAGTGATATGCATCCATGTCAGGTTTCTGCCTAAATCACATTGTAGGCATTGTTCGATGCTAATAAGACACACATGGACCAAACAAAATCAAATGGATGAAACAAAATACAGAGACAAATGACAATTATGTTATTATGTAATTATGATATGTTTCCCCTTACTTTGAGACAGGAAAACATAACCAAAATACTTTGTCGGCTTCCTTTACTTAACATCTCAACTAATATGTCGCTGAATTTCACAACTGACATTTTGTTAAAATCTTTTTAATGTCATTTCGGAAAAGCTTAAGCATAATCTCTACTGTGGATTTGATCTGAAAAAAAATTTGCATGGCTGGTAAACTCGGGATGGTATACGACGTAAGGTGCTCAACGATGAGGTAAGTACAGTAGCCATGGGCCCAAATAACCTTCGGGCTCAGATGACCTAGAAAGCTGGTTCAAATCACCTTTTCCCCAAGTAGATGTGTCAATAAAAATAAAGACGAAATAAAAATGTCGTTCAACCCATTATCATTAAATCGTCACATGACGAATGACATTTCTTCCCTAATTACCTTTCGATGATACAATTTCCATTCAAATTCGCAAGAGATTAACATTTAGATATGAAACATTCAAAAGGGTACAAACATGTAATCTGTGTTTACTAAGTAATAAAAGTGATTGATTTTGAGAGCATCATATAGTCTGATATGATAGGGAGGTTTGCTTCAAAA